TCTCTTTTATGTCCAGAGTTGATGTTTTGCAGATACTAGGCATTCAATGAAATATCTATTAAGTGGAAAATATTTCATCTCTCCAGGCTTGAGTATCCTTACATATAAGCCCAGAGTTGGGTGAGACCAGCAATTCATGAAGCCCTTTTGAGTCACAGGTTTATTTGATAATCTGACAGAAGATGCCAAGCCTCTCATCAGAAAAAAATGCACACACACATAACTTTATACACAATTTTAGAGAGTTCACAGGATTTTTTTTTTTTGGTCTGTGCCATGCAATTTGTGAGATCTTAGTTCCCCAACCTGGGAATGAACCTGGGCCCTTGGCAGTGACAGCATGTTGCTCTAACCACAGGACCACCAGGGAATTCCCTCACTTGAAACTCGTCCAAGAACCTCTGGGCTGGATGAGTGCCTACAGGATCAGATAGGCCACAGTTTCATGGTGGTTCCAAGCACTGAGTTCTATCTTGTCTGATTAAAAGAACATTGCAGGGGAAGTCCCCTGGCGGTCCAGTGGTTAGGACTCGGCGCTCTCACTGCCATGGTCCAAGTTCAATCAATCCCTGATCAGGGAACTAAGACCCTATAAGCTGCTGGGTGCAGGCAAAAAAAAAGAGAGGAAACAAAACAACACTGCAGAAGCACCAGATGTAGGACTCCGCAGATGCTGCTGGAAAGGTTTCCACCTCTGGCCTTACCACAGTGGGGGTGACAGTCAAACTCCAGTCTCCTGTCTCGTTGTTCAGCTCGCCACAGGTGGGAACTGGCAATAAACCTACAGGAGAGATTAGAACGCAAGAGACTATTGCCCAGCCACCAAGGTAGTGCACTCTTGAGTCAGGTTTCCTAGGATGGAACACCTCTCCAAGCCTAGGATTGGACTCTTTACAAGCTGTGTGACTTTCGACCCGTGACAACCTCTCTGAACTTCAGTGTCTTCATTTGTTAAACGGAATTAAAAGACATTACTGTTCTTATTAGGAAAATGAGGTGATGTATTTAAGTACATGGGATAACTCAGTGAATGCTAACTCGCAATTTCAAGCTTTCTTTCACTCACCCTGTCTGTTGGTCCTCTGGTCCACAGCAGCCCCCATCCCGACTTTGCAGGGGACAGCGCCAAGGGCCTCAGAGGATGCCACCTGGCCAGGCTTCTTGGGCGGCCTGAAGCTGGCCCAACCTCTTCCCTCCCCACAGGAAAGGTCAGTCTCTTTACCCATCTCGTCCCGCAGCTGGGTCAGGGACACGGTCACATCCTCGGTGCCTCCGACCAGGGACGCGCTGACCACAGGGCCGGACATGCGGATGACAGGAGGAATGAAAACTAGGCGGGAAGAAAGGGACAGGGAGGAGTTAATAGTTGCAGCGCCCTTGCCTACGCTGAGTGGTGGCTTTCTTTGGCGGTGTCTTCCGCAGCTCTGGCGACAGTCCCAGATTTGGCCTCAAGACTCGTCCTCTCCCCCATCCCCGTCCTGCAGGCCCCTGCCCCGCCTTACACACCCAGGTCTCCCCTCAGCGGCCTCAAGACGCCCTGCAGAAGGAGGAACCCCAAAAACAGAGGGACCGGCGGCGGCAAACGCATGCCTGGGGGCTCGCCGGGCCTGCACAACAGGACTGCGCCGCCTTAGAGGACTGGAAGCGCTGGGACTCGGAAGCACTGCCCGTGCGGCCTTGCCGACACCATCTTGTCAAGCGAAAGCCTGGAGCTATGGCAACCACCAATCGGCCGCCGGTCTGACGAGAGGCGCACCGTGATTGGACCAACGCAGAGAGAGCCCGCCCTCAAGCCCAGCAACAGCAGCCTAGCCCCGCCTACAGGCCTTCGGTCCTTCCGGCTGCATTACTCCATGTAAAGGCTCACGAAAAAGTAGCTGTCCGCGTTCAGTTTAAAACCCCGAGTTTCTCCAATTTGGAGTTAATTTAGTCAATCTGAAGTTAATGCAAATACGAGCCCGCAGCACTGGGTTCTAAACAACAAGCTTAATAAACTTGATTTTTATGAGGATTTGGGGGAGGGACAAAAAGGGGGTGAAGCTACAGTGCTGTAATTGTTCTGTTGTGTTTTTATTATTCTCCCAGTTTCTTAGAAGTTTTGTTTGTTTGTACCACACAGTAAGACAGTGAAGGACAAGGAAGCCTGGCGTGCTGCAGCCCGCGGGGTCGCAAAGTGTGGGACAGGAGTTAGCGACTGAACCACCACACAGAGCTCTCAGACCTCTGAAAGTAGGTCTTCTCAAACTACACACATGAAGTTTTCGCACCATTAGAACAGATGCAAAAGTACCAAAATTCTGCGTGGGAAAAAAATTCATTTTTCTTATGGCAGTAGCCTCAAAGCATCGCAAGCATTATCATAGCTCGGTGACTTAAAGGTGCAGACTCTGAGGTTGGACTGACTGGTTTGAATTTCACCTTCCTTCTATGTTAAGTGATCTTGGGAAAGTCACTTAACCTCTCTAAGCTTGGGCTTCCTCAGCTTTAAAGGAGGTAATCAGTCTCTCCCAAACAGGGTTGTGTGAGAAGTGAGGCAACACACCTAATGAGCTTAGCCTAATGCCTGATGTACAGTAAGTACTCAATAAATGCTCACTCATTTTGTTAGCTAACAGATGAGTGGTAAACCAATTCACGGACAGAATCCATGTACGGTGTGTAAAAAATCTATTAAAAACCTCATACAAATCTATAATTGTATAGTATTTGTAACAATATTTTTATGTACAGTTTTGGCAAGATTTGAAATTAAAGTTCTTCAGAGTTGAATAAAAAATTGACATGTGACCAAATCCAGTTAAAAAGTACACAGCTGAAGACGAATGAGCATGAAATAACCAGTAAGCTCAACATTCAGAAAACTAAGATCATGGCATCTGGTCCCATCACTTCATAGCAAATAGATGGGGAAACAGTGGCTGACTTAATTTTTTTGGGCTCCAAAATCACTGCAGATGGTGATTGAAGCCATGAAATTAAAAGACGCTTACTCCTTGGAATGAAAGTTATGACCAACCTAGACAGCATATTAAAAAGCAGAGACATTACTTTGTCAACAAACGTCCATCTAGTCAAGGCTATGGTTTTTCTAGTAGTCATGTATGGGTGCGAGTTGGACCATAAAGAAAGCTGAGCACAGAAGAACTGATGCTTTTGAACTGTGGTGTTGGAGAAGACTCTTGAGCCCCTTGGACTGCAAGGAGATCTACCCAGTCCATCCTAAAGGAAATCAGTTCACTGGATGTTCATTGGAAGGACTGATGTTGAAGCTGAAACTCCAGTATTTTGGCCACCTAATGCAAAGAGCTGGCTCATTTGAAAAGACCCTGATGTTGGGAAAGATTGAAGGCGGGAGGAGAAGGGGACGACAGAGCATGAGATGGTTAGGTGGCATCACTGACTCAATGGACATGAGTTTGGGTAAACTCCAGGAGTTGTTGATGGACAGGGAGGCCTGGCGTGCTGCAGTTCATGGGGTCGCAGAGTTGGACACGACTGAGCGACTGAACTGAACTGAAGAAGAAATAACTCAGGGAAATATGAAAAGTTAAGTTATTTTATTATAAAAATTATACAAAATAAACCATAAGCACAACAGTTAAAATTTAAACAGAATTAAGCCAGTTCATAAAACATTTCAAATGAAAAAGTAGTAACAAAAACCTTATCAGCTTGTTTGAATTTAGTCATCTTTAGATATATGATGTTTTATTTCCTAGACTTAAAAATAGTGATCTCCATTACACTTAGGCTGTGAAATATTAAATATTATTTAAAAAGACATTCTTAAACTCAGAGATTAACACTTGCAAAGTAACCACCAAAACCTTTGTTTTTCTGTTAACAAAATTGTAAATCCAGAATATAAAACCTACCTGAAATAATCTAACCAAATACCAAATTATTTAAGTATTTGAGACAGTTTTTGAGATGGTATCAAGAGAAAATTAAAATCTTATTTATATACAACATTGTATACACATATAGGTTACTGTCAGTATACTTTCTAAAAACAAACCAAACTGGCCACCATTCTTGGAAACCCTTCCTACACTATGCTGGAATTTAAAAGGACTTTTAGTAACTTCAAGGTTTTGTAGAAAAATAAGTTGTTTATTGTTGAAATTATAAATAATTTTTCTTTTTAATTAATACAAGTTTTCAGTATTAAGCCCAAAGCTTCCAGAGAACCATTCTCCAGTATTAATGCTTTTCCCCTCCTCTAAAAAAGGAATGAATTCTATGTGGGGCAACACTTAGCTGGAAAGCATTCCCCCGAAGACACTCACCTTGGGAACCCAGACTTTGGCTTTCACAAATAAGCTCTTCACACAACTGTTTTTGAACAAAAAGTTCCTTCCGACTACTGCACTCACTTTCCATACTCATTTAAAATCAGATTTTAGAGATACTCAGTGACAAACTTTGATTTGAGTAATTGTCCAAACATGTACTGTCAGACAAAAGAATAAATATCTGGTCATATCTGCAGCTAAATCTCAATCGAGAAAATGAGGATTTTATTTGCATGAATACTGTCAAAGCTAAGTGTTGACTCAAGTAAGATGTTCTATCTTGATTAATGCCATTACTCCATAGTCACTTTTCTCCAGAACTGGGTTCAAATGTCATGTTGTACATTTCACAGTAAGGACCCAGACTTGGGTAGGTTCTGACACTTTCCATCAGGCAGGATAGACTGTCTTTGACAAATGATCATCTCATTAAAAAAAAAAGTCAAATTTGTGCTTTCTTCCCCCATTTCTGGGCAAAAACTAGCCAGAAAAGACTGGTATAATGCATAGAATGGACCCCCTCAAATAAATCAGCCCCCCAGCACAGGCTAAGGATGATGTTTCACAGTATTTCCTCTAAGAAAGCTCATTATCTTACACACATCTCTATTTTTTTCAGAGCCTCCCTAACAAAGATTCTGCCATATAATTTCTATAACCAGCTCTAAAGTGACGGGGAAAGTGATGGGGAAATTATTTTTATTATCATGAGGACATTTTCAGTTTCTTTTTCTTGGCCTTCAGTACAGGAGGCAGAGAAATCTTAAAAGCTGTCCTGAAATAATACACAGAAAAAAATAAAACACTTTTTAATGCTCTAAATCTCTGTAAAGTGGGAGCCAGCCATACAACCCCAAAGATACTTACTCGCATGTGGTACAGATTGGGCTGAAATTGCAGAATACTGTAAATTGAAAAAAAAAACCACACCAGGATGATTCAGAAGCAACACAGTTGAAGATATTTTCTGCAGACTCCCCTCCAACATAGAAAAACTAGGTATAAGGACTTCCCTGGTGGTCCAATGGTTAAGACTCCACTTCCACTGCAGGGGGCATGCATCCAACACCTGGTCAGTTAGCTAAGGTTCCACATGCCACACACTGCTCTCCAGCCCCCGCCAAAAAAAGACATAAAAAAGAAAAACTCAGTACACAAACTTACTTGACAAGCACACAGAACAGACGTAGCCGATTTCAATGAGATTTCGATGACAGAAGCAAGCAGCCCGGTAGTCAACATGAACTGGGGGTGGGAGGATTAACTGAGACCTCTGATCTTGATCAGGAAGAAAAACCCACTATATAAAACAAGAAAAACCCACTATATAAAACAAACAAACAAACAAAAATGAGCAAGAGATTTTTATTTAAAACATGGGGGAAAACAACCAGAAGCCAAGATACAGATATTAGATTTCAGCCAGTGAACACTGAGAATACTAAACTGGATTTCCCTTGAATGTCTGTTGAGAAATGTGTATTTTTCACTCCGCAATTACTGAGCACCTCCACACACAGGCACTGTGCTGTAAACAGCCATACAACCTTCTGCACAGAGCTTACAGGGTTCAAAGACTACTGGAAGCTGGAATTCCCTAGGTCACCCCTCTATTCCTTTCTTCCAGTTACTAGGCATCAGCCGTCTCGTTCCCATTCATTCCCCAGGAAACAAGGGTCTTGACTGACTCAAGGCATTAGGTTCAATGTTGACGTTTCCTTACCAGTAGATACTGCAGAAGGGAAGGCATCTGGGGCACCTTCAAGTACAGTCCCCCTGTGATGTCACAAGCCTGGAAGACACACAAAGGACTCACTGCCACGTGAGCACCAGCTTTTACAGACGGAGGTCATTCTCACCACCAACTCTTCAGGTGTACGACACAGCAAATTAAAAGGGCATCTCTTCCCATAGTGAGGGAAGATTAGAAACTTGCAGTCACCTCTCCAGATGTTCAAATAGCTTGTGTTTTCCCCTTGGTGCACACCCTTTCACCCTTAGAAGCCTGCAGTTATAAGACACTACATGCCCTTTTTCCTGTTTGTCTGCTGGTGGTACATTTTTATTCTTGCCATGTTTATTCACTCTCATCATATTTTTTAGTTAACAGTTTGAGATGTAATTCACACACTATAAAACCTATCCTTTTAACATCTAAGATTTACTTATTTTTAGAATATTCACAGAACTGTGCAACTGTCACTGCTATCCAGTTGCAGAACATCTTCATCACCCCACATCCCCATTAACAGTCACTCTTCATCCCTCCTTTCCCCTGACAACCACCAATATGCTTTCTGTCTCCATGGACTTGCCTATTCTGGACACTTTTCTTTGATCAATAGAATCAGGCAAGCTATGTCCTTTTATGACTGGCTTCTTTTACTTAGGATAATGTTTTCAAGGTACATTCATATTGTAGCATGTATCAGTACTTCATTCCTTTTTATGACCAAATAATATTCCACCACATGGATAGACCACAGTTTTGTTTATCCATTCATCTGCTGATGGGCATTTGAGCTGTTTGCACTTCTGGGTTATTACGAATAGCACAGCTGTGAATATTCATGGACAGAATTTTGTGAAGACACATTTTAATTTTTCTTAATATATGTGCTGCTGAAGCGAGCACTTCATTTTTCTTAAATAAATATCTAAGAATGGAATTGCAGACTCAACTGGTAATTCTATGTTTAACTTTCTGAGGAAGTTTCAGATTGTTATCCAAAGAGGCTGTTCCACTTCACATTCCAATAAACACCATGTACCTACCATCAAGCTTAAGAAACAGGACAATTCTAGAACTTTTGAGGCTGGTGTACTTTCTGGTTGTATACCCCTCCCCCACTCAATCCCCAGCAGTAACCTAAACTCAAAGTTTTCTGTAATTTTATGCTTTTAACTGATCTTTTAGGAAATATTGTTCCTTGTGATCAAAAACCATTTATCAAAAGTTTAGTGTTGTCTGCAGTCTTATTTCCACTTTTTGTTTTGTTTTGTTTTTCCTTTTTGGCTAAAGTAAAACTCATTTTCATGTTTTGATTAAAACAGTGCTGTCCAAGAGAAACATAATATGAGCAACATATGTAATTTTTAATTTTCCAGCCACATAAAACAGGAACAATGAAGAGGTAAAGTTTTAGCAGCATCTTTTAGATAACTCAATATATTCAAAGTGTTATCATTTTAACACGTAACTAGTATAAGAATCATTAACGAGATATTACACATTCTGTTTTTCATTCTAAGTCTTTGAAATTCAGTCTGTATACTCACGTACTTCTCAATTCAGATCAGACTCATTTCAAGAGCTCAACAGTCACATAGCTACCATTAGAGACAGCACAGATCTGGAACCTATTTTTTATAAAATTCTCTGCTTAGTGATCTATTCTTCCATCTGTATGTATACAGCGATCATGCTGGTCACCTAACATTAACTTCGGGATGAAAGGATTTGAAGAGATTTTTCTTTTCCTATTTTTACTCTTTTTAAAAATACTTTTCTGTGCTGTTTGAATTCATCTTAATGTGTGAATTACAGTACAAAGTCAATCAAAGCATTATGTAGAATATAAATAAAAATTTCAAAGTACCAGAGAGATACTGGTGCTCTAACCTAAAGCATCATAAGGGCTAATCCCTAAAGCTGTGTGAAGACGGTGGGTGAGAGCATTTACCATAGGTGACAGAACACACCACGCTTTCATAACCACCACCAAGCATTCATTTAAAATATACCTGTTGGAGGAGTCCTGAATCAGAGTCTAACACGCAGGCATCGATCAAAATATTCTGAAATGGACATTTCAAAAAATATTAATAATGGAATAATTATTATTCCAGGAATAATGAAGACTACCTTATAGTGAGAACCTATTATATGCCAGATTCTATTCTTAAAACGGCTCATTTAATATGCATGGTTACACTGAAAGATAAACATCTGATTTGCATTTTACACTGAAACACCCAGGCCTTGGCTGAGTGGTGGTCACAGAGCCAAGAGCAAACCACGCTGTCACCCCCAATCTGCCTGTCCTCAAAGTCCATGGCCTTTTCACTGTATCATGCTGCCACTCCAAGACGGAAAATATTGATTAATAGTGACTATAGCAGTATTTTAGGTTAATGTGACTATAGCAGCATTTTAGGTTAAAATGGAAGCTTGTTTTTTTTAAGTTTTTTGGCCATACCACCACAGCATGCAGGATCTTAGTCTCCTGACCAGGTATCAAATCCATACCCCATGCCATGGAAGCATGGAGCCCTAACCACTGGACCAGCAGGGATGTCCCAAAACCAAAGTGTTGTTTTTTTTTCAAACTGAAGTTTTAAGAAAGTTTTTTTTCAACATGTCAAAGAAGAAAATGTATTAATGATAACTCATCTGAACACCTGAGTTATTTGCAAAGTAAAAATATCAAATATTTATTCTTGGTGTTTAGTTGCTAAGTTGTGTCCAACTCTTTTGTGATCCCATGGACTATAGCCCACCAGGTTCCTATGTCCGTAAGATTTCCCAGGCAAGAATACTGGAGTGGGTTGCCATTTCCTTCGCCCGGGGATCTTCCTGACCCAGGGATTGAACCCGCACCTCTGCACTGGCAGGAGGGTTCTTTACCACTGAGCCACCTAAAACCTCCCTAAAGCAGAAAGACAACGAAATTGAGGCAACACATGCAGCAAACTGTTATAAAACTCAGGATTCTTAGCCTGAAGTCTACAGATGGGCTAAACAGGGTTGTAACTATATATGTAGTTAAACCAAGCAACTATAAACAAAAGTGAGCTTGAGTGCATATTCTTCTGGGATCCACTAGATTCTCAAGGGTGCAGGACTCAAAACAGAAAAATGACTAGGACAAAACATGGATTCCAGATTCCCAATCCCTTAGTAAGTATTCAATAAGACTATTTCTTAAAGCAGGCCATTCAAACAGTAAAATTAATTCCTTCATTATGAAACCAATATTCTTGAAAAAGAAGGCTCTCAATTCACCTGCTTCTGTGCTGCAAAGATGACATTCATGAAGTTCATATACTGCAATGCACTGTCTTCTGCAGCCTTAATCACCTAAAAATCATATGCATGTTAATACCTTTTGGTCACATTCTAATACTCTTACTCAAATGTCAACACAGTATACAACAAACTACAGTCAATATCATCTAATTTATCTTTGTAGTTATTAAAAATCTCCCCCAAATCCTATCATTCAAGAAATAATCATTGTTAATGGTTTCTAAAGAGCATCTATGTGAACATGTGTATACATTCACATCCAACAGAGACACAGACACACACACACCCAGGATGATACCCTAGTATTCTGCAACCTGGTTTTTCAGTCCCCAATATCTGGGGGAAACAACCTTATGTCAATAAATATGAGTGTATATCATCCTTAATGCTGAGTTCCTAGATTTTGACTATTTAACCAATTACCTACAGAAGACATTTAAGCAGTTTCCACATCTCAGTTGTTTTTTTTTTTCAAACCTCAATTTTAGACAAGGCTCTGATGAACACTCCCATCTACCCTTTGCACGACTGATTAGCTCCTAAGATAACCGGTGAGATTACTAAAGTGTCTGCACATTTCATTTTGATACATATTACCGACCTGCCTTCCAGAAAATCTGTACTAATTTATCCTCTTATGGGCGACGCAAGAGAAGAACCACTAGTAGGGCTGCCGTATTTTCAAACGCTACCTGGTCATTTGCATTTCCTCTTCTGCAGACTGCTCATGTTTCCCACCTGTTCCTTTGGAGTCAACCCTGACTTTTAAAAATTAATTTACAAAAGCTCTTTTTTATTTTAGAAATAATACATTAATCCTATCATGTAGTTATGTTGAAAACCCTTTTTCCTAATAGATTTTTTCTTTTCCCATCCTTGTTTTGGAGTTTTTATTTTTTTTAGGTCTTAAGCTTTCTTTTAAAGTTTCACATCATGCTTAGCAAGATACTCACCAACTGAAGGTGATACACACATATTTCCTTCCGGCACTTTTACAACTCGAATTTTTACATTGACATGTTTGATCATTATTAGAATGTGCTTAGGAGTAAGCAGTGAGATCTAGCTCTGTGTTCCTCCCAACGGCGAACCAAGTGGCCCAGTATCTTTTACTGAATAATCCATTTCCTTCCCACACATTTGAAGTGTTTCATTTATCTTGTGTCAAACCCCACTATGTACCGATTCTCTGTTTGCATACTACTGTACCAGAACCACACTGTTACTGTAGCTTTATAATGTGTTTGAATGCCTAAAGGAGTGCGAATAAAGAAGAACAAAGAGCACTGCTCTCCACCCAGTTCTACACGGGTTAACTGGGAGCCCACTGCAGCTGTCCTCTGACCGCGCACCCTGAAAGGCGTCCAGGATGAAAGGCAGGATGAGGCACTCAGTGCTCTGGATAAACAGGCCCTTAGACAGTCAGATGGGTATCTCAGGAAGAATTTCAACAACCCCAGATTCTTGCCTCTTTGTAGGCAAGAACTGAAAAAACAGAAAAGCACTAAAATCACTATCTTGAGATATTTGTTCTTTGTGATTAGCAGTCATCTTTTACCGAGATGTATGCTTAACTGTGTGAATTTCCTAGCCAAAAAAAAAAAAAAACCCACATAAACTGGTCTCTCCTCTACCTCTTTGGGACAGTTTCTTCACAGCTGAGTGGTTGTCTCCTGAGCTATAATGCTCAGTAAAACCCTGAATAAAACTTAAACTCAAAAAAAAAAAAAAACCTTAAACTCACAACAGTAATGTTGTGTGTTTTTCTTTAAGTCGACTGGAGCAAGTGCCTACTTACTATTCTCTTTCAGAAAGCTCCTGGCTATTCCCACTGATTTATTCTTTTAGATAAACTCTTGACTTTCCTAAATCCCCACACTCTGCCAGGAAAAAAAAAAAAATCTTATTAATATTCTGAGATTGCACTAAACTTACCAGTTTAATCTTGGACAAACTGACATTCGAGAATAAAATATGGCTCTCCACAAACTAGGGGTTACCAGTAGGGGAGGGGGAAGAAGAAACGGGCAATAGAGCGGTAGAGATTTTAAGAGGTATAAACTATTACAGACAAAAAAGCTACAAGGATATATCACACAACATGGGAAATATAGTCAATATTTTAATAACTATAAACAACTTTTAACAACTTTAAAAAAAACTGTGAATCTCTGTATTATATACCTGTAACTATATAATATTGTAGATCAACTATACGTCAATAAAAATAACTGAAAAAATTGAAAAAGAAGAAATATGGCTCTGTTTATTCAATAAGTTTATGTCTCTCAGAATTTCAGTTTTTCATCATAATCAACTTTACACATTACTTGTTAATTAACTATGGAATCTTAATATTTATTGCTTCTATTATAAATGGGTCTTATTTCTTAGCCTGTTTTCTAACTGGCTCTGGCTGGTATAAAAACATAGTACAGATTTCTTTTAATCTTACCAATATCCTTGATTTCATTTCCTGATTATCTATAAAGAGATAAAAACAGATTACATTACAGCTGAATCTCACTGAACATATTATAAAGTTTTCTCACCAATTTAAAAACAGTCCCTCAAAGTTATAGTAGTAAAATAAGAATTGCAGTTTCATAGAAGATTGCAGGCTCTTACCTTTAACTTCCTTGTTCATTCTATGAATGTCTTATTTTCTTAGCATTAAGGAATTTAAAAATATTGTTTCAGAAAAAATAAATTCAAATCATAGTTAAATAAATTCAGCATCCACCTTCCTGAGAAAAAGGAAAAGCTCCATGACTCACAATAAACACACAAAAGAGATTGGAAGCTTCCAATTACTGACTTTGCAATCAAGTGGGCTTTGTAACCTGACCAAAATATGACTGTTCTCCCAGAAAATTAAAATTAATAGATTTGATTGTTCTACAGCTATCTATCATGTCCTAGATTTGAATACTGGCACAAGTAAATCAATACGCCAACCAAATGAGATGACGAATTTATAAACCATACACAGACAATCAGACACCCCCAATCACAGTCTGGGGACGAAGGGATTACTCAATACTGTACAAAACAAATTAAATTACTTAAGACTGAAAAAAAGGTCACACAAACATAGATTATCAACATGCTTATAAAGGTGGGCAAAATAACTCATTCTCCTGGGGAGAACCAGCTGCTCATTTAATAAGCCCCAGGGTCAGTAAATGGCTTTTTTTTTTTATTTTTATTTTTTTTTTTAGTAAATGGCTTTTAAAATCAAACAATGTTTCTAACATGAGAAAAGAAAAAAAGTTTTAATCTGTCTAATAACTAACAGAAAAACACCCTGAAGAATAATTCGTTGTGAGCAAGACATACTGGAGAAAGGAGTTTTCTCATTCTTACAGCTTCTCCTAAAAACATATTAAAAACTTTTTTATTATCTACCGCTTTAGAATACTCATGCCTTCCAGTAATGTGCGCATCCATGGTTCTAAGAAATATCACAAGTTAAGGTATCTTTATTAAAGGAAAAAACAAACTTCTGAATGATTACAACACCAAGGATATAGCAGGGGCTTCCCTGGTGGTCCAGTGGTTAAGAATCCACCTTGCAATGCAAGGGACACTGGTTCGATCCCTGATCTGGGAAGATCCCACATGCTGCAGGGCAACTGGGCCCGTGTGCCTCAACTAAGGAGCCCACGTGCTGCAACCACTGCAGCCTGCGCACCCTAGAGGGCATGCTCCACAACGAGAGAAGCCACGGCAGCGAGAAGCCAGAGCACCCTAAGTACAGAGCAGCCCTGCTCGCCACAGCTAGAGAAAGCCCGCAGGCAGCAACAAAGACCCAGCACAGCAAAGAGAAAATAAATAAATACATATTAAAAAAAAAAAAACACCAAGGATACAGCAAAGAGCTTTGGCCAGGGATCCTGCCAGCAGAGTCTCTGTGTGTTGACCCTCTATGTCACCTGTAAATAACAAAAAACATTAAAAAGAGAATTTTTAGGTACTTTCTTGAACCAAAATCATTTTTAAACCAAAGCATTCATCTTCATGAAGGAAATCAGATAACATTTTCAAAACTGGGTTTATAAACACAGATAAGCAATTGTTAAACATTTTCTCAATTTAAAATACCCTGGTGGTTGGGGGCTGAACGGGGAGGAATGAGGGGTGGTTGTTTGATGGGTATAAAGTTCAAGTTTGGGATGATGAAAAAGTTCTTGAAATGGATAGTGGTGATGTTTGTCCAAAAATGTGAATGTACTTAATGCTACCGACCTGTACCCTGAAAAATGGTTAAAATGGTAAATTTTATGTTATAAAGATAAATACTAAAGAGTATCCTGGTGTTACTGGGGAAGGTTCTGGTTTCTCAATGATCTGAGTGGTACAAAAGTCTGTGTGTGACCGAGGGCAGCCTGCACAGAGATCCCTGGCTAGGCTCTGAGCCTTTCCTATCACCTCCTCCTTCCCACTGCCCCGGAAAAGCTGGACCAGTGAAAAGAGGACTGGAGCAACTCCCCTGGCTGTGGGAGGTAGGGACAAAGTTCACAGCTTATCTGGAGACTTGAGTGGGGGAAAAAAAAAAAAAATCACTCATAAAAATCAAAATTCTAAACATCCAGTTCAACAAGGTAGGAGTCCAGACTAACACCCTGTAGGAACAGGGCTTGCAACTGCTCCAGGAGTGCTGATGGCCCCACAGGGAGGTCAGACCGGGAAAGGTCTGGACCACTGAACTGAGAAGTTGGGCCTTCACGCTGGAGGCCAGTGGTTTCCAAAATGTGATTCTAGAACCCACTGGAGGAACATCACCTGGGAACTCAAGAAAAATACAAATTCTTGGGTCCTCCCTGGTGCTATGCTATGCTCAGTCCTGTCTGACTCTTTGAGACCCTATGGAGTGTAGCCCAACAGGCTCCTCTGACCACGGAATTCTTCAGGCTAGAATACTGGAGTGAGTTGCCATTTCATACTTCAGGGGACCTTCCCGACCCAGGGATTGAACCCGGGTCTCGGTCTCCTGCACTGGCAGACAGTTTCTTTACCGTGTGAGCCAGCAGGGAAGTTCCTGGGCCCTCCCAAGACCCACTGAATCGGAAACCATGAAGTGGGTCCCAGTATTTCATGTTATTGGGGTGTAACTTACAGATCTCAAAATTCACTCTTTTTAAGTGCACAAGTCAATGATTTCCAGTAAATTTCTAGAGTTGAAATCATCACCACGATCCAACTGTAGAACACTTTCATCACTCCAAAAGATCACTTAGGCCCATTCCCAGTCCCTTCCTGCCCACCACCCCCTCCCACCACCCCCAACTCCACGCAGTCCCAAGAGAAATCACTGATCCACTGTCTGTCTCTAGAGTTGCCTTTTCCCTACCGGTGATTTGGACAAAGGAGACAGTTTAAAACCACTGCCTGCAGGCAATAGAGAATTAGCAAAAGTCTTTAAGGCAGGAAATACTAACTCTGATTTTTAGAATGATAACTCTAGAGAGCTGAGTGGAAGGACTTAAATGGGGAGAGACAGGAGTAAGAAGCTGTTATAATGATCCGGAGCAAAGGCTCTCAAGCGGGCAACTGTGCCCCAAGAGGGTCATATGGTTTGTACCTACATGCGTGCTCAGTCATGTCCAACTCTTTGTGACCCCACGGACCACAGCCCACCAGCTCCTCTGTCCATGGGATTTCCCAGGCAAGAATACTGGAGCGGGTTGCCATCTCCTTCTTCAGGGAATCTTCCTGACCCAGGTTTCGAACCCATGTCTCTTTCGTCTCTTGCATTACAAGGCAGATTCTTTAACAACTGCGCCACCTGGGAAGCCCCAGCTGGGGGATATTTTAGCATCCAGTTGGTTGAGGCCAGGGATGCTGCTAAGTAAGTATCCTCCAAAGGGCTTCCCTGGAGGCTAAGATGGTAAAGAATCCACCTGCAATGCAGAAGACCTGCGTTCAATCCCTGGGTTGGGAAGATCCCCTGGAGAAGGGAATGGCAACCTGCTTCAGTATTCTTGCTTAGAGAATTCCATGAACAAGAGGAGCCTGGGGGGCTACAGTCCATGGAGGTGGAAGAGTGGGACACGACTGAGCAACTAACCCTTATCCTCCAAAGCACAGGAAACTCCCCATGACAAAGAATTCCCCCCCGCAAGATATCAGCGGTCCCAAGGTTGAGCTAGATGGCAGGTAATAAGGGGTCAGACTTTGGAGGTACTTCTGACAATAAATTAATAGGATTTCATAGATGATTAGATGTTGGTTTAGAAGGAAGCAGTCAAAATGAAAGCTTTTGGAAAAGCAGGTGGATGGGGGTGACAGAAATGGAAGTAGTGGTATAATTGAGGGGAAAGAAAATGAAACTGGTCTGGGACTTATTAATGAGACTGAGGGACACTTAAGTGAAGACATCTGCAGTTTGAAAGAAAGGATGGATTAGAGACAAAGACTGGGAAGGGTTCATACACAAATGATAATTAATGGGAAGGTTGGATGAGAACATACAGAGGAAGAAAAACACCGTGCAGAATTAAAAAAAAAAAAAGTTTTTAAAGAAATAAAATGATAGACTTCCCTGATAGGAATCTGCCTGCCAATGCAGGGGACACTGATTCAGTCCCTGGTCTGCGAAGATTCCACATGCCTCAGGGCAACTAAGCCCGTGTGCCACAAGTACTGAAGCCCACGGGCCCTAGACCGCGTGTTCCGCAACAAGAGAAGCCACTACCACGAGAAGCCTGCTCGCTGCAACGAGAGAAAAGCCTGAGCGCAGAGACAAAGACGCTGAAAATAAATTAATAAAATCAATATTTTTAAAAAATGAAGAAACAAGATGAAGAAAAAGTCAAAAATGGAAGAATGGTCTGAGAAAGAAAAAAATGGGTCAAAACAGGCTATCCTCAAACATTAGAGTGTTTCAAGTGGAGGCTGGTGAACCGTGTCCATGCTACAGAGGTCAGGCAAGTATCACACAGGCTTTTGTGGGCATGATTTAAAAAAAAAAAGAGAGAGAGGAAATTAAGTAGATAATATCAAGAATCTCAAACTTTTGGACTCAAAACCTTAAGGACTTCCACATTCAACTCCATCTGCAAATAGCAATAATGGGAGGAAAAAAAGCTGAAAGCAATTACTTTTGGTCATTAGATCTTTGATCTCTTCAGCGATAACTTCATTTGCTGCTGTCAACAACTCGTATTTTCCATCTTTACTTCCTGAGGGAGTAAATTCAGAAGAAGCGTTTCCTGGGTCTCCAAAGAAGTCTCCAAGTCTGCCGTTCTTTCCAGGGTATAAAAATCGACTGAAACAGAAAAAGAGACAAAAAACTCCCTAGTCATACCAAGACTCAGTGCCCATACTAAACATCAAAATAAAAGTCAGCAGAGATAAAAACCACACCAATTCCAGAATCTCAAGACTCCATCATAAACTCCAGTTTTACAAAATGTATAAAACAGCCAAATTGGAAAACATGAGTCTACCACCATGGGATGTTTTGATGAGTCCACTGTTTTCTTAAAAACCGGGAAAAATAAAGGTGGTACTCGGTTACAGTCTCTTGAAACACTTTACAGTGGTTCTCACTCTCTAGATGACAACCAAATTTCCTACCAAATTCTAATTTGCTACTTAGTTTATTATTTGAGGTATATTTATCTGCCCCAGTAATATCTCATCTCAGGGTCCTTAAGCACTGAGCAGGAAGAGTAATCATAATGGTCATACCTTTCCTGAATGTGACTTGCTATCACTGCAAGTTTGTTGGAACGATTCATGAACAAATGAGAATTTCCCAGAACCATCACGGCATCAATGCATTTTGATAGAGTAAACTGTTGAAACACAGAAGAAAAAAGAATCTAAATCAGCTACCCAAAACCACTATGTCAGATAATTATTCACGCTAAAAATTTGCTCTGGAGTTCCCTTCTCCAAGGTCATAAGGAAAAACATTGGAAAGGTATAGTTTCCTAATTCTGAACAGCACAGACTTGCCCATTTCTGACTTGCTTAGAAAAACAACACACGGCAGGTCAAGTCTCATGGAAGAGAGCAAAACGAAGGAAGAGTGGCTATTGGGGGAGGAACTGGGCAAGTGGGAGGAGATACGGTAAGTTTTTATAAACATGATGATTGATTTGTGCTCCAGTTGACCTAAATAAAACTTAGTCAATAGAATCAATCTTTACTAATACTAGTTATCGAGACTCGTCCTTTCTTTCTCCTCCTGTACAGAACCATCTACCAGGTACAATTTTATCCTCTTCGATAATCAAAACTGTCAAATTTGAAATATAAACTTAAGAAAGACTAAAATTCCAACTGAGACAAGAAATCACATGCAAAGACATTCATTTTCACTGTTATTGTTCCAGCTGTTATACCGTTAATCAATACAACTTATTTGTTCATAAATAAATGTATTCATAGCAAAAATATGGATAATCAAATCTGAAAAAGAAACTATAGTTTTCTAGTTTTACTTATGAGACCACTTCCTCATCAGTACAATATTCCACAAATGTTTTTTGTATAACATTCAGGGAATAGTAAAATGTCACATCTTCTGTGATAAAATTACTAGCAAACTATTGCTACACATAGAATAGATAATATATATTGATTAAATTGGTAATTGTAAAATCTTTCAATTAATTCATTCACTAAATATGTTGAGAACCTATTATGTGCCATGTGAAGACCCTTTCTTTCATGGAATTTACACTCTGACAAGTATTAATGTTACTAAAGAAAGAAATACTTTAAGCAGAAAACAAAACAGATAAATTTCACTCACTCTATTTCTTTTTTTTTTTTTACTCTATTTCTTAAAATATAAAACAAACCTATTAAAATTTCTACAAAACAAAAAACAACTAAACCAAAGTGAAAGGCAAATTACAAACTGGAAAAAAAAACTGCAACATATGAAAGACAATGGGTTAACCTTTTAACATAGTGTTCACAGCCCAGTTAGAAAAAAAAAGGAACACCCAAAGAAGAAAATGGGAAACTCCCCAAAAGAAAAATACAAAGGAGAAATACAAAGGGCCATGAAATATACTAAAAGAAGACTGAGAGAATTTTTGGTACATCATACTGGCAAAAGATAAAATAAGAAAACAGAGCATCTTGTGTTAGTACAAAAAAAAAAAAAAAAGGAATCCTCATATACCACTGATCAGAGTTCAAAATAATACTCTTCCTGGAGAGTATGATAATATGTAGTGATATGCTGGTCCAGCCACACCACAGAATTCTACTCAGCAATAACAAGAAATGAACTACTGATCCATATAGCAACATGGACAAATGTCAAAGTAACTACGCTGAGTAAAAACAACAGACCAATAGACCAAACAAGAAAAAAACCCAATAACAAAAAACCAACTATATACTGTTTGATTCCAGGTAAACACATACCTTAAAATGGCAAACTAATCTATAGTGATATTATGCAGATAAGTGGCTATCTCCAGGAGGGAATAGGGAGAGAGCTGGGTGAGAGAAATTCAAAGGACTATGAAGAAACTCTGGGAGTGATGGATTTGTGTGCTTTTGTTTTGTTCTTTTGGATATGTTGATTGGCTTACAGGATCTTAGTTCCCCAATAGGGACTAAAGCCAGGCCACAGCAATGAGAGCACTGAGTCCTGACCACTGGACCATCAGGGAACTCCCATGGATCTATATTTCATTATTTTGATTGTGGTGATAATTTCATGAATGCATACATACGTGAAAACATGAACACTTTCAATATGTGCTGCTCAGCGTACATCAACTTGATACAGTTATTTTATCAAGTACATAACTTGTTCTTAATGGTGAGAACATGTCCAATTTAAGAATTAATTAAGAACATGTCCAATTTAAGAATTTAAAAATTGGACATAACATTTTTATATGAATTTCATCAAAGAAAATATACAGATAGCTAATAAGCTTATGACCAAGACTCTCCAACATCATTAGTCATTAGTGAAATGCAGATTAAAACCACAATGAGGTACTACCACCTACCCTAGAATGACTAAAATCAAAATGACAGGACACTGCCCTGGCGGCCCAGGGGTTAAGAATCCACCGGCCAATGCAGGGGACACAGGTTCGATCCCTGGTCCAGAAAGATTCCGCATGCCATAACTAAGCAAGTGAGCCACAACTACTGAGCCTGCAGGCTGCAGCTACTGAAGCCCATGCACCCTGAAGCTGGCATTCCGCAACAAGACAAGCCCACACACCACAGTGCCCTGGTTTCGCTCTTTGTACTGCAGTTACAGAAGATGTTACTACTGGGGGAAGCTGGGTCAGAGCACACAGACCTCTCTGTACCAGTGTTTATAATTTCCTGTGATTCCATAACTATTTCAAAGTAGAAAAGTATTAAAAAAAAAAAAGACTACATATTATATGGAATCAATATACGAAATGTCCAGAAAAAGCAACAGAGAGACAGAAACCAGACGAATGGTTGCCTACAACTGGTGGGGGGGGCTTCCCAGGGGGGCTCAGTGGGAAAGAATCCACCTGCCAATGCAGGAGATGTGGTTCAATCCCTGGGTCATGAAGATCCTCTGAAGAAAGAAATGGCAACTCACTCCAGCATTCTTGCCCGAGAAATCCCACAGACAGAGGAGCCTGGTGGGCTACTGTCCATGGGGTCGCAAAGAGTTGGGCATGACTTAGTGACTAAACAACAATAACAGCTAGGGCGTAGGAGCAGTGACTGACTGCAAACAAGCACGAGGGAACCTTCTGGAAATAGAAGTTTCCTAAAATGGAATTGTGGTAGTGGTGGTTATACAACTTTACTGTGATTTTTACTAAAAAACACTGAACTATACATTATAACGGGTGAATTTTACAGCATGAAATTATACCTTAATAAAAAAGCAACATACACATATACTCAGTCAAATCAGAGCTATCCAAAAGCCTTCCCAAGCAGCCTTACCTGAGACTCCTTTAATGCTTGCTTTCCCCACCAAATAGGGTTGGTATCAACTATGATAACTAGAAGATTCAATTCATCTTCTGAAAATATTAACAAAAAAAAAATTAGCCTCATAAAAGTGAAACAAAGCTAACATTTCCAATTTGTAAATTAAATCCAAAGCAAGCACCACTACATGCCTTTCTATGTATATAAGCTACAACCATGAAAGTAACACAAGATCAAGTTCTTTTAAAGACTTAAAGCTCTGGAGGCCCTTAGTGAGCTCTTGCTTGCCTTCTGCACATTTACACCTCTCATGCACTGAAAGAGTAGCCTCCAACCTTTTTGGCACCAGGGATGGGTTTCATGGAAGACAATTTTTTCCACAGGTTGTGTGTGTGTGGGGGGTGATGGTTCATTCCAGGATGACTCAAGAGCACTACATTTACTGTTCACTTTATTTCTATTATTGTTACATTAGCTATACCTCAGATCGTCAGGCATTAGCTCCCAGAGGTTGGGGACCCCTGCAGTAGACTATGAACACTGTGTGGTGGGATTTTTGTCTCTTTTATCACTGCTTGTCCTCTGATCTGAACACAATGCCTAGCATGGGGTGGATGCTCAATAAATATTTTATGAACCCAAAGATAAATGCATTACAGATGTCTGGTCAAGGACAGAAGGCACTGATGAACCAGTACTGAGAATCATTAGTAGAATTTCAGGCATGGGGTAGGGGTGGGTGGGGAGAGATTTAAAGGGAGACACAGAATCAATTTGGCTCCAGGTCCATCAAATCACCTTTCACCTTCCAGCAAGGCCAATTATAATTAGTAAACAATCTTTAAAAGGTAAAAACCAGAGTGAAAAGCAATGGTTGTGTAAAGATTTTATTGTGAAAAAAATTAGGCTACTTTTTACAAAGTGAAAGACACAACGAAACAGGCTAACTTAACACAGTAATCCATCCAACAAACACTTACACTAAAGTACCAGTGTTAGGTGTCAGGGATACTGGATCCAAGCCCTCAAGGAGCATATATTTTAACTGAGGTGACAGACATGTGAACCCGCAAGCACACATTGTTATGAAAAACCCAGCATGCTCATTTAATAGCAGAAAGCAGCAATGCCCTGCTTGCATACCCAAATCCTATTTACTCTCCAAGGTCCAAACCCAATGCTACCTCCTTGTCTAAAAGTCCTCTCCAGATCTTCCAACAGGTCCTGGCTCCCCCATCTCAGGAGAGAGGAAATGTCAGTCTTTCTGTGTCAGTCCCAACACATGTAATCCTATCATACTGTCCCACTGCTGACAACTCAGAAAGGGACTTAATGCTATCTTTCGCTTGTTGTTGTTGAGTCGCTAAGTTATGTCCGACTTTTTTGTGACCCCCACGGACTATAGGCTGCTAGGCTCCTCTGTCCATGAGATACTCCAGGCAAGAACACTGGAGTGGGTAGCCATTCCCTTCTCCAGGGGATCTTCCTGACCCAGAGATTGAACCTATGTCTCCTGTATTGGCAGGCAGATTCTTTACCAATGAGACACCAGGGAAGCTATCTTTCACCAATTATAAGATGTACTCCCTCCTTTTTCTTTCTTTTTTTAAATAGTTTTACAGTTTTCAGCAATTTGACAGTTGCTGAACTCAAGATGGTATCTTACCATTATGACTGATCACATTTTCTCTCTTAGTGATATAGTAAATAAAATAAAAGCACATTTCATAATCATATTGCCTTAGATTAGGTGAAATACGGTATTCCTATTTTGCAAGAGAAAGTAACTTGCTCTAAGTCACATGGCCTGCTAACAAGTAGCAAAGCTAACACCCAGCTCTGAAGACAGATCTGCTTGACTCTCAAGACTGTGGCTAAAAATGATACAGATAAACCTACCTGCAGGGCAAGAACAGAGACACAGACATAGAGAAGGGATATGTGGACACAGTTGGGGGGTACGAATTGGGAGATCAGGCCTGACATATGTGCACTACCACGTGTAAAACAGATAGCTAGTGGGAAGCTGCTGTCTAGACAGGGAGCTCAATCAGAGTTCTGTGATGACCTAGATGTGGGGCTGGCGGCAGGAGGGAGGGAGATCCACGAAAGAGAAGATACATGTACACATATAGCTGATTCACTTTATGCTGTTGTACAGCAGAAACTAACACAATATTGTAAAGCAATTATACTCCAACAAAAAAAACTGAAATAAAGACTGTGGCTTTTCAACACCTTATTGCCTCCTTCTGACCACCCACAGTGCGATCCCTCTTCTAATGACAGTACTCATGACCTCATTTTACACTCAGCTATGCTTCTGATCTCTCTTCCCCACTCAGCCCTCTAAATTGTGGCCTTCTTAGACAATGAGGAATGTTATGTAAACCACAGAACAAAGTGTTTAGCACAGAAAGCCACTTAATAACTATCTCTCCCACAGGCCCTCACTCCTCTGCCCCAAAGCCTTTGACCTTATATCTCCATCAGGTCCCACTCCCCAATCCTCAGAGCCATACATTCCTTGCTACTATCAAGCCTGAGAAAAACAAAGCGTTGCCTGTCAGGAGAGGTGTGAATCCATACACATAGAATGTCCCTGTGGATTTCCTTCTTTGGTTCTCTATCTCCTCATCTGTAGACAGGGGCCATACCAGATCTGCCTCCCTCACAGAGTTGTGATATTAAAACAGATAAATGATGCATGGACAACTGTTACCGCCCCTGAAAGGATCTATTTCTATTCTTGCTCTCCACAGTCAATTTCCCACACAGCAGTCGAAGTAATCTTTTAAGATAGTAAATCAGGGAATTCCCTGGCCGTCCAGTGGTTAGGATTCAATGCTTCCATTGCAAGAGGACATGGGTTGGATCCCTGGTCAGGGAACTAAGATCTTAGGGGAAAAAAAAAAATCGTAAATCAGTAATACTTCTTTTTTTTTTTCTTTCAGTAATACTTCCTTATTAGGAGCCCTAAAACGGCTTGTATTACACTTAAAATAGAGATCCGGTCCCACAAGGGACCTGCACCTGGCTAGCTAGCTCTCTGATCTCATCCCTCTATCCCAACCTGCTCCCACCACCCTGGCCTCTTTTTTCCTCCCTTTAAGACACCAGGCTCTGCAACTGGTAGTTTAAAGTATGAACGAAAGTCTCCACTCTCCTCAACCCGCAGGTGTCCCCTTTCCGTCTTCCCATTGCAATGTAATGGCTCAATCTGTCACAAGGCCTTCACAGAACTTTTATAAAGTCACTCAAGTCTTAGTCTGAATATTACGAGTCTTCCCTGGACCCATATTGGAAGCAGCTGCTCCTGGATCATCCCCGAATAGCAATCGACACCATCATCACTTTATATTGTCGTCACAGCTTTTGTCACCCTTCGAAATTACTTTTATTTACTTGCTTGTCTGTCTCGCTCACTAGACTGTAACCTCCACTAGTCTTGTGTTCTCTATGTATCTCCCAGGGCATGAAATAACGCCTGGCACACAAGAGGCGCTCCAAAAATATTTACTGAATGAATGAACGAATTTGCTACTCCTTTAAAGACCAAACAGGCTCCACCCAGACCCCCAAATACAGTCCATTTGGTAGGTCATCGCTGGGCAAAGTCTGCTTAGTCCCGGGGTCCGGCTCCCGCCGGCGCGGCCCTCACCGTCTGAGACCATGGCGACCAGAGTCCCTCGGCGAACAGCCACTTGCAAGCAAGCAGAACTGCCGGAGTGTACGAACCCCGACTTCCGGCGCCTCCGAGTGACGTAAGAGACGACGTGGCTCAGGCCGCGCGCCTTACCCACAGCCCCGCCCCAAGGCGCCGGAAGTGGAGTGTAGAGCGTGGCTGCGCGCTGTCAGTCAGTGTGGTGCAGAGTGTGATCCGCGCGGCGGTGGGACCAGTCCAGGCGTCTCGTGCGGCTCTGGGCCCCTCAGGCTCCGCGGTCCAGAGGGCACCATGGACAACAAGGGTAAATTGGGACGCGTCGGACCTGCCGGGCCTAGAGCGGAGCCGCGCAGGGATTCCTCCACCTCACACGCCCAGACTGGGCTCCGGGCGCGGTCAGTTTTCAAGCTCAGGCTGTTTGGTCGGATGTGGTCCCTCTAGTCACAACTAAAACCCCCTCGCTGCTCGTGTATCCAGGGAATGGGTCTTGGGTGTATCCCCAGACATTCCTTCTGTCCACGCTTTCCAGTGCCTTCCGAAAACGTGAGATTTCGGACGATTGTGCAGGTCTTCGAAGTCTTAATTTCTTCATATGTGAAGTATGAGTAAGACTCCCTGAGCCTGCCCTGTTGAATCTGGTACCAGAATCAAAAGAAAAGCGTATTTGATGTGCCTGTCTAGAGTGGTTATCAAGGTGTTTTATTAAGTGAAGAACAAGGGCAAACTAATATGTATGTAGCACCTTTCATGTAAAAAAGTAAAAGCAGAGTAGACTGCTACATCACACACACACACACACACACATATATATATATGTAGGTGAATAGGCTTGACTTGGCATAGACTGTCTGGAGAAATCAGTAAGCAGGTTGGCTCTCGGATTTTTTGTAGACTTGGGGTCAAGAATAAGGGTGAGGATGACCTTTCACTATCATTTGGTGGGGCTTAAATTTTATTCCATATTACACAGGCTAGCTTTTTCAAAATGAGAAGGAGCTTGCAAATAGTAAAGTGATGTCATCTCTATTCCCATCAACATTTTTCGTGTCCCTGAAGTCAAACACCCTGCAAAGGAAATTTTTTAAATTAGTTTGCTTTTTAATGTCAGCAATCATTGATAAGCTCTATGGTTGTCTCTCCTGCTAAATGAATTCGCTGAATCACTTCTTCCTCCCTTCCCAGAGTTAATCGAATACTTTAAGTCTCAGATAAAAGAAGATCCTGACATGGCCTCAGCAGTAGCTGCCATCCGGACTTTACTGGAGTACTTGAGAAGAGATACAGGTAAAGAGGGTCCACCTCCATTGCTCCAGGTGTTAGGAAAGTCTGCTTGTAACTGTTAAAATTGTAGAAAGTAAGATGGATGTGTGCTGATATAAGGTAATACAGCCTCAAGTTCAGTTTCTCCCTTCATTTCAGTCCTTTCAGTGTGGAGAGAGCCCTCAAGTTAGGATCACATAGGTCTTTTTTCACAAATGAAATATACTTTGTTTTTTTTTAAGTTTTTCTTTTTTTTATGTGAACCATTTTTTGAAAAGTCTTTATTTGTTATCATGTTGCTTCTGTTTTATGTGTTGGTTTTTTGGCTCTGTGGCATATGGGATCTTAGCTCCCCAACCAGGGAGCTGTTTGATAACCAGCACCCCCTGCATTGGAAGGTGAAGTCTTTAACCACTGGACTGCCAGGGAAGCCCCTGAAATGTATTTTGAATCAAGAAGGACCATAGTATGACAGGTTAACTGTGAAGCTTAACTGTGTGAGTATAAGCTTAACTGTGAAGCTTGCAATGGTTCAGCTTTACAAGTGTTTATTGGGCTTCTGTCTTGTGACGGATTCTTTGCAGTGGATATAGAGAATGTTCTAGTATAAATTCTAGCTTTAATGTCATCATTGTGAGCACTGCGAATTCAATCATCCTAAATGTAAACATCTGGGTATAAACAAAATAATAATAAAAATAATAAAGTGTTCTTTAAAGGGCTGACACAGAGATGCATGTCTCTAAGACAACCTCCAGCATCTTCCCATTATACTAATATCCAGACATCTAAGCCTTACCTGCACCACCCTGCAAACCTCTTCTGTCACTACTTAATTTCCTTGCATGCTGTCCTTTGCTGAACTGTGCTTCACTCTGGCCTTTCTCATACAAATTTTATTCCCATCTTGGGGCCTTTGCATTGGTATAGTCTGTATCTGAGACTTTGCCCACTGCACCTTTACATAGCTGGATACTTTCTTACTCAGGTCTCTGTTTAAAAGGCCCGCACTCCAAGAGATCATCCCTGTTAACTCTGCCTAAAGTAGTTCTACCTTTTTCATCATTCTGCTTTTTTCTGTCCTCAATTCAATCTGAATAGCTTGTTTATTTCTTTGTGTGCTTGTTTACTGTCTACCTCTCCCAGTAGAAAGAGAGTCCTGAGACTTCCCTGGCAGTCCAGTGATCAGGACTCTGCACTTCAATGCTGAGGGCCTGGGTTCACTGCTGGGGGATCAGGGGAACTGAGATCCTGCAAGCCAGGAAGCACAACCAAGAAAAAAAAAGAGAAAAGGAAAAGAAAGGCAGTTCCATCAGAACAGGGACTGGTCAAGTTCACTGATGTTATCTCTGGCATCTAGGAAGTTTGTATGCTCAGTCACTTTAGTCGTGTCCTACTCTTTGCGACCCTGTGGACCATAGTCCACCAGGCTCCTCTGTCCATGGAATTTCCCAGGCAAGAGTACTGGAGTGAGTTGCCATTTCCTTCTCCAGGGGATCTTCCTGACCCAGGGATTAATCCCACATCCCCTTCATTGCAGGTGGATTCTTTATCTGCTGAGCCATCAGAGTGCCTGGCATACAGCCTACACCCAGTCCACACTGGCTGAATGAGTGTATGAATTGCAGACCCATCAAGGGGCTGTGATACTGAAATGAACATCATGTTGTTCATGTGATCATTCCAGGGGAGACAATCCAGGGCCTGAGGGCGAATCTCACCAGTGCCATAGAAACCCTGTGTGGCGTGGACTCTTCCGTGGCCGTGTCGTCGGGTGGGGAGCTCTTCCTGCGCTTCATCAGCCTTACCTCCCTGGAATACTCTGTAAGCCCTGCCCTCCCCCGGTCACCGCTCTGCTTCTGTGTTTGGCCACAAGTATTCTCAGCTTGACCTGGATCCTTCCCTTCCCCTCATGTTGCTTTTTTTTTCCCCTAGGATTATTCCAAATGTAAAAAGATCATGATTGAGCGGGGAGAGATTTTCCTCAGGAGAATATCACTGTCAAGAAATAAAATTGCAGATCTGTGCCATACTTTCATCAAAGATGGGGCGGTGAGTACGTCTTGATTGTGGGTGGTGATCGGGAGCAAGGACTTTGGCATCAGACTCCTGGGGTAAAATCCCACCTCTGCCACCTACTTGCTGTGTGACGTTGGACAAGTTACTTAAGCTCTCTGTGCTGTACTTGTCTCATCTTTTCAAATAAGGGTAATTATAGTACTTACCTCATAGGGCTGCTGTAAGGATTAATGAGATGGTGTGTGTGAGGACTCTGCACTATGCCTGGCACACACTTAGCAGTGTCTAAAGATAGATGTTAGTATCATAGGTGTTTGTCATTTTAAAGAGGCAGAGGAAAACCCTGGGACAGCATGGATGATTCTCGATTTGATAAGCTGTCTTACTAAAGAAGTATTTTTTTCTTACTGGATATGTACTAAACTGATCTGAGTTAAATCAGCACAGCTCTTGTCACTGGTTCATCCTGACTCTCTTCCTGCCGAAGGTTAGCACTGGATTGAGATTTTTTTTCATCTTCATTCCAAATGCTGTCACAGAGATGCAAAGCTGCCAGGTGTCAATAACCTAAGTGAGGAAAGACAGGAGCAGCACATTAAGTCAGTCTCCCAGCAAAGGGGTCATAAAACTTTTATGACATCTCTTCCGCCAGCACACATCCTTTCTACCAACTAAGCCTCCACCGACTGTAAAAGTATTTACTTGCATCTGGACTCTGAAATCTTGTCCTCTGTTTTATTACTCCCTTCCCAGCCTCTGAATTATGTCATTAAATAAATGATGTAATAGATGCGACTGGCACTGGTACAAAAGCCAGCTTCAAACAAAGCCGTTCTGAGACCAGGTGGTGGCAAGCTGGTGACTGCTTCTCGCCAAGGCCTCCTCCTTCCCAGCAGTCACACTACAGGGTTTGTTCATCCTTGTGGAGTTTAATGTGTAGCAACCACCTGCATCAGTACTATTTAGGGTAAATTAGGAACAGAGCGGCTTAAATGCAAGCATGCAGGTGAACCACCTGGAGATCTTTTAAAGTGATATCCTGGGACTTCTCTGGCAGTCCAGGGGTGGAAACTTTGCACTTGCAATGCAGGGGGCATGGTTTCGATCCCTGGTCAGGGAATTAGGATGCCCCCATGCCATGCAGCATGGCCAAAATTTATTTTAATTTTAATATAAATATGTAAATATAAAGTTAAAATGCACATTCTGGTTCAGTGACACGGGTGGGGCCTGAGAACCTGCATTTCTAACAAGCTCTCAGGCAAGACCCAGAAGGAGCCAGGGAACTGGTCCCTCCACCTTGCTTTTCTCTGTCCTCTATCCTCTGTTCCTTAGAACATCTTGATTCCATCTAAGTATCTGCAAATTGTGTCTAGTCCACAGTTGGGTTGTATTTACCCCAAACAGTGTATAAAAGTTTTAAAAAATGAGTCAACATTGAAATACTGGATTTTAGCTCCTCTAGAAAATCAGTTGATCCAGCAACAGTGGGCCCCATGCGACAACAGCCGGAGGTCAGCCTTCGCACGCTGCTGCTGGCCCCACTGGCCTCTACATCCCTTTATGCCAGCAGTCTGGTGCTTGAAGGCCCAGGTGTGCAGAGTAGGTCTTAGAATTAGGGAAACCTACCCAAAGGAACCTAACAGCCTTCAGACAGAAAGGCTTTTGCATCTGAGTAACACCACGTGGAGATACCACTTCTGTGCTTGCTATGAAAAGAGGAGACCCATGATATATTCCTCTGGCAGAAAACTTTTTCAGATTGTATCAGTAGGGACTTCCCTGACCACCCAGTGGTTAAGACTCCAAGCTTCCTTGCAAGGGGCAAGGGTTTGATCCCTGGTTGGGGAACTATAATCTCGCATGCAACGCAGCGAGCCAAAAACAAAAAGTATGTATATGGGCTTAAACTCAGTGTATTGTCAAGGATCTGCTTTCTGATTACAATTGATTTGTGCAAAAGCATACATACAGAGAAGCTTTAGGGTACCAGGAACACACATTGGAGCAGCAGAGAGTCTGAGTGATTGGTGGAAGTTTGCACTTTTGATGGAGTTTTCTCTACCCACAGAGAATATTAACGCACGCCTACTCCAGAGTGGTCCTGAGAGTCTTGGAAGCTGCCGTGGCAGCCAAGAAGCGCTTCAGTGTGTACATTACAGAGTCACAGCCTGACTTATCAGGGCAAGTATCTTTCCATGTGGTCATGTGCCCAGCAGTCCCTTTAATGAGAAAACTGAGGATGAGACTCCATTGTAAAAGGAGCCAGGCGAAGCCCCCGATTTGTCTGTCAATCAGCATTGCCTTTCACAGTACCCATCCCTCCTCCTGGAAGAAAAATCACCATAAATTTGAAGTCGGTCACAGTATAGCATCTAGGGGTTTTATTTAGTACTTAGAGGAACAGCAACTGAAATGTCAAGGAATAGATAGTTACATCTCTTATGTATCCAGAACATAATAAAACCCCTTTTCTCCTGAATTTACATATCCCTGCAAAGAGCACAGTTTTCCTAAAATACATACTTTTAAAGAACCCAAATTCTTGTTTCCTTAGTCCAGAATCTTGGGATCAGCCCCTTAGCCCGTCCATTAACATTAACTGAAGTGACTTCCCTGATGGTCCAGTGGTTAAGATGCCATGCTTCCAATGCAGGGGGTGCAGGTTTAAGACTTCAAATATGGTCTACATTAAAAAAAAAAAAAAATTAACTGAGTTTCTAGCTAATGTGATTTATCATTATCCAAATTAAGTGACTCACCAGTCTCTATGATAAGGACTTCCTTGGACTTTTTCTAACATTCTCAAAATGTCATTTTCAGTAAGAAGATGGCCAAAGCCCTCTGCCACCTCAATGTCCCCGTCACTGTGGTCCTTGATGCTGCAGTTGGGTAAGCGCCTGGCTCCCCCATCAGTTACGTTTCCTCACTCACCCACTCCCAGGGTTGGTTTGGAGCAGGGTTTCCAGATGGAGGGTCCCAGTCTCATTCGTAAAATAAAAGTGGGCAGCATCCTGCCTCCTAATTGACAGCGGCACTAAACCAGCAAGTTCATGGTAAGAGCCTGACAGTGTACACAAGAAGACAGGGTTGTAGGATGCTGGGAAGAGCCGGATACATGGTGTCATGGTGCATTTTAAAAAATATTTGTGTTGGGTCTTAGTTACGGCATGCAGGATCTTTAATTGCAGCATGCGAAATCTAGTTCCCCAACCAGCAATGGACCCCAGGCCCCCTGCATTGGGAATGCAGAATCTTAGCCCCAGGACCACCAGGGAAGTCCCTCATGGTGCATTTTAAGAGCAAGGTGCAGTGATTGGGTCAGCGCTCGTAATCAGTGTTCTCTCTTCATCTAAAGACACAGGCTGTCATCAGTGGCACTCCAGAATTTTTCATCTCCTGTGTACAACTTCAGACCTAAAGCTGAGGTGACATGCTCCATGGGTTGGCAGCATGGCTTATAAGAGAAAACAGGAATAATAATCCCTTGGAAAGAAAACACATAGGGAGATGATTAAGGAAATTATTAATGTGTTTAAGAATAAACATTTTGGGGACTTCCCTGGCAGTCCAGTGGTTAAGATTCTGTGCTTTCACTGCATGGGCATGGGTTCAGTCCCTGGTCTGGGAACTAAGATCCTGCATGCTCTGCACTGTGGCCAAAAAGTAGGGGGGGAAGAAAGGTAAACATTTTGAAGGATTCTAGTAGTTGCTCATTTTAAAAGGTAAATTGGCCCCCACCCAATCTGCAAAACTGTTGAATTACATTTTTTTCCAACTTTCAGATCACATCAGGTTTTTTAATTTTTGTTTTGTTCGTATTGACGAATAACAAAAATTAGTGTGCCAGATACAGAAAAGATAAACGCCGGGTCATGAAATCCTTGCTTCAGCTACACGTGTACACGTGTGTTACTGGGTAGCAGCATGAGTTATACCTCTTATCATGGTATCATCAGAACGGGTCTTGGCGCCTCTATAGCAGAACCGGTAACAGTGCCAAGGGCTGTCTCAGGTGTTCAGTGCTCTTTGGAAGAAAGTTATGAGAGGAACATACTTTGCTGAAAATGGGAGTATTAATCTTTGCAGGTGATGTTGCAAGAGCAGAGAAAGAGCATTAAAAATTTGTTTTTCATTTCTGTAGCTACATCATGGAGAAGGTGGATCTTGTCATAGTTGGTGCTGAAGGAGTTGTTGAAAACGGAGGAATCATTAACAAGGTAGGAGCATCAGTTCTCCAGAGGTCCTTGCTCAGGGCACGGAGCTCCACTGATGACTTCGGACACCCAACCACACTGTATGTTACGGTTCATTCCTCTAACCCTGCTTCTCCTGAGGACTCCACCATTGCAACCAGTGGTCTCCCAGTTCCCTTGAGCCACTGCAGTGGGGCCAGTCAGATTCTGGTCAGATTTCTTTCTGCTTTGGAGATTGACCTGTGTAGATTAGAATGCATTTATACTTATTCAAAACATGCTTTACTTGGAATTGGTTTTCTTCTTTTTAATGGAGCATATTTGACACCAATATAATATTTAAAATTTATCTGTTGCTTCACATGGAAAGACTTCATGGTAGTCTATTGTGTTTGGTAAAAGTATGTATAACGTTAAAAAATTTGCCATCATAATCATTTTTAAGTGTACAATTCAGTGTCATTAATTACATCTCACTTCGTTGTGCAGCCATAACCACTATCTTCAAAACTTTTCCATCACCCAAAAGAAACTATCACAAAACTCTTTTTCTCTCCCCCATCCCCTAAGCTGTTTTCTGTCTCCATGATTTTTTCCCGTTCTAGGTACCTTATGTAAATGGAATCACACAGCTATCTGTCTTTTTTGGGTTTGGTTTATTTCACTTAGCATGTTTTCAAAGCTCACCTGTACTGTACATGTGTCAGTGCTTCATTCCTTTTTATGGCTGCATAATGTACCAGTGTATGGTTGGACCATAGGTGTCTATCCATTCATCTTTGATGGATACCTTTTGACTATTATGACTAATGCTGCTAATAACATAGATATACAATTACTTATTTGAGTTTCTGTTTTTTATTCTTTGGCGTATATACTTAAGAGTGGAATTGCTGGGTCATATGGTATTTCTGTGTTTAGCTTTTTGAGGAACTGCCAAACTGTTTTCCCCAACAGCTGCATCATGTTACATTCCCATCAGAAACACATAAGGATTCCAAGTTTCTTTATATCCTTGCCAGTACTTTTTTTTTTTTAATTATAATCATCCTAGCTTGAAACTCAGCATTCAAAAAATTAAGATCATGACATCTGGTCCCATCACTTCATGGCAAATAGATGGGGAAAAAATGGAAACAGTGACAGATTTTATTTTCTTGGGCTCCAAAATCACTGCAGATGGTAGCTGTAGCCACAAAATTAAAAGACGCTTGCTCTTGGAAGAAAAGCTATGACAAACGTAGACAGCATATTAAAAAGCAGGGACATCCCTTTGCCGACAAAGGTCCATATAGTCAAAGCGGTAGTTTTTCCAGTAGTCATGTACAGATGTGAGAGTTGGATCACAAAGAAGGCTGAGTAGCAAAGAACTGATTCTTTCAAACTGTGGTGCTAGAGAAGACTCTTGAGAGTCCCTTGGACAGCAAGATCAAACCAGTCAATCCTAAAGGAAATCAACCCTGAACATCAATTAGAAGGATTGATGCTGAAGCTCCAATACTTTGGCCACCTGATGGGTAGAGCAGATTCATTGGAAAAGACCCTGATGCTGGGAAGGATTGAAGGCAGGAGGAGAAGAGGACAACAGAGGATGAGATGGTTGGATGGCATCACTGACTCAACGGACATGAGTTTGAGCAAACTAGGAGACAGAGTTGGACAGGACTTAGCGACTGAACAATCCTAGTTGGTGTGACGCAGTATCTAATTGTGGTTTTGACTTGTGTTTCTATAATGATTAAGACTCTTGAGCATCTTTTCATGTGTTTATTGGCCATTTGTAAATCTTTGGAGAAATGTCTATTGCTTTTTTAAAAGATCCTCTAATTCCAAAGCCAGAAGTACATATATTATGTTCACTCATAGACTTTCTGTTGCTTCCACTAAAGATGTGCTATAAGATCTCACCTTTCTCCACTGTTCTCTGACTTCTCAGATTGGAACTAACCAGATGGCCGTGTGCGCCAAAGCACAGAACAAGCCATTTTATGTTGTTGCGGAAAGTTTCAAGTTTGTACGACTCTTCCCACTAAACCAGCAGGATGTCCCAGATAAGTTTAAGGCAAGAGTTTTACATATTATAAGGGGTATTTGAGTCTAAACTGAAACCTTTGAAAAAACACAGTGCTAAGAATGTTCCAATAAGTTATTCACTTCACATTGCTATTTTTTCAAATATACAGAATACAAAGATAAATTGATGATTGTTGAACAGTGTAACTTGTCCCCAGAATTTCAGTCTTTTGTCTCTCACTTAAGCACTAGATACAGGCCAAGCAGGCAGGGAAAGTTGGTAGGTAATAGTCAAAAGTTTTGGGTCAGCTCTCTGGGCTCACCTACCATCTTCATCACCTATTAACCATGTGATCTTGGGCAGGTCCTTTCACTGTAAGGTTTATGAACTTCAGTTATCTGTACAAGGGTTGTGATGCTTCAGAGATAATCTATGGAATTTAGCACCTGGCACTTAGTAAGCTTTCTATAAATGCTCTGAACAGTTGTCTTGAGAGGTCACTCCAGCACACTCATGAGGGGACACATGGCTTAAGGTTTTCTCTAATGACCTGGCTGACCCAAGCCACACTCAGTCCCCTGACCAGTGAGCCACACAGCTGGCTCCCCCATTTCCAGAGGGCACTTTCAGGCAGGAGCACCTTAATCGCTCAGGCCAAGGCCTCACCAGCTCAGAGCCCTCAGTCTGTGGGGCAGACTAACGTTGGCTTCCTGTCTCCTCAGTACAAGGCGGATACTCTGAAGTCTGTACAGACTGGACAGGACCTCAGAGAGGAGCACCCGTGGGTCGACTACACCTCGCCTTCCTTAATCACGCTGCTGTTTACAGACCTGGGGGTGCTGACGCCCTCGGCCGTCAGCGACGAACTCATCAAGCTCTACCTGTAAACACCAGGTCCTTTCCTGCTGGTGGACGTCGGATATGGGGAGTAGTCTCTTGGCCCCTTAGTGAGCCAGGCCAAAACTGAATTGTTTTTTTCTTAAGTTTTATGGACTAAGGACTTAAAATCCTAACTCTTGGGAAGTTTTTTATTCATTTCAGTCCCATCTAAAATGCATTCATGGTTCCCCTAAAGCCCAGCCTAAAATTGTGCTCTTATGGTTTCCATATATTTCCAGACGCTTCCATTCATGTCCAGTTTCCAGTAATATAAGATTATTGGCTGTTTGATGGATGAAGATGTGCCCACTCCCCCTCCCTTCATCTTCCCCACACTCCAGACTGATTTGCCAAATGTATCTGAAAGACAAGCAGGCCCAAGAGGGCAGTGGTCCAAACTACAGCCAGCTACCCTTCCAGTAACCAACAGCTGACCGGGACCAGGCTCCACGCTGTGCTGGATGAAAAAGGCAGGCAACACTCACTGAATCAGGTTCCCAGTGGTGAATACGAGCTGAGGGCTGTCATCTCCATGAAAGGATCCAGCCAAAGAGTGGAAACTACTGCAAGAACCCAAGAACAGGTACTAATGGCCTCTCTGGCCCGAGTATCCTGCACGGCTCATCAGTTACGAAGACACTTTCCAGAATATTTGCAAACTTAAAATTCTGTATCTGGGAAAAGATGTGACTCGAAACATATTTAGGTCCTGAACAGCTTTTTAAAATTGTTCTTGGGAACAAATTCAGCATCTTTTCAAATAAATTACATGAAAGATTTTGAGATGGCATTGCACTGCACTGCAAGCTGACCCCAGGCCCAGCCAGAGGGCTCTGACACTAGATGTATTGTCCATCTTGGTAAAGACACTGTGCAGCCACCTTCATGTACTTAAGGCACAGTCGATTAGAACTACACTTTATTCAACAGGAGGTATAATTTTCTTTCCCAGAATAACTTGCTGCTTCTTTTTCATATACTCACCAATAAAACAGTACTATGGGCTGTGTGGGTGTCAGCTCAGTACATCAAAGAGAGAACTGAGGGTCCAGAGGTAAAGACACCCAGGGAAGGGAGCTCAGGTGCCGGAAAACACTGAGGAACTTTTAAAAGCTCTCAAATCAAATCTACTTCAATAGCTTTATATTAAATAAGTTTAATAAGTATAAAATAGCCACCGAAGAATGAGCTCTTTAAGTAGCCCATCAAAATAAATATTGACATCTATTATTTACAGTTAAGTAAATTTACGTTTTCTTCTCTTAGACTTCAAGGCTGGTATGTTTTTAGTAAAAGGCTCACAAGCGTGAAACCCCTCACATCTGCCATTTCTGCAACAGCAGTTCCCCAACGGGTGCCGAAGTTCTGATGTTCAATAGAAGGAAGCTCGAGCTGTCTGCCAAGTGGGGGCCAGCTCCCCACATTCCCCACTCCCATGCGTTTCACCTGAGGGGCGGGAATCAGCAATCATCTTCCAAATCTGAGATCTCCAAATCTGCTGTGTTTGTTGATCTCTTGCCACTTGTCAACAGCCCCTTCTCAAATTCTTCTTCAGTAATTTTGCCTTTTTTAAACTTTTTCAAGAGCCTTGTGTCATTCAGAAGTTCCTCCATGTCTTCATCTTCCATATCAGAACCCTGAGTGCAGAAGAGACCAACAAGCTACTGAATTTCTCAGCAACAGTGTTCTAAGTGAAACCAGCAAAATTTGGGGGTTTTTTTGGCTGCTCTGGGAGGCTTGTGGAATTCTAGTTCTCCAACCAGAGACTGAACCTGGGCCCCTTGGTGGTGAAAGTGCAGAGTCCTAACCACTGGACCGCTAGAGAAGTCCCAAACCAGCACTTTTTAATCAATCGGGAACTACATGCTGTTAGATCAGCTTTCACGAACAGCACATTCCCCAACCCAAGCCACCAAGAGAGAACAAAAACCTAAGAGTCCTATGCAATTCCTATTAGAAGATACACTACACTTCTGTGAGATTTGCTCAGAATTCTGAGTATTTAATTTAAAAAATTGCCAGCTTTACCTCTTCCCTTTTCCTTTTTTCATTCAGTTTTTTCTTCTTTTCTTTTTTGGCCTTCTGCTTTGACCAAGCTTTATTTTTTATGAATTTTCTTCTCCCATCATTTTCTGTTTTCTCTTTTCTTTGCTGCTCCAATAATTGCTTCTGCCTCTGCTTTTCTCTGATTTTGTCTTTAAATGGAATGGTATCTGTGTTGACATCCACAGGCACGAAATCTGGAAACTGCTTTCCTCTCAGCTCTGGCATCTTGGGCATCCTCAGCAGGGCAAAACCTCGAGCAAGACTAGCAAAATCAAGATCTGATTAAACCGAAACATCAAGAGTTAGCACACCCAAAACAGGACTGTAAGCATCAACCAATAGAATATTCATAGCAATGTAATTTTTTCTAAGTGATATAATGGACTAATTAGATTTAAAATAATTACATTTTTACTAAAAGAATACTCAGCAGCCAGTACCTAGTCAAACCCAAGGAAGACTTTTTATTTTTGAGGGGCTATATCACACAGCATGCAGGTTCTTAGTTCCCTGACCAGGGATCAAACCCCTACCCCCTGCAATGGAAGCTCGGAGTCCAGGCCAGTGAAGTCCCAGAATTTATTTTAAATGCTTGGAAAACATTAACCCTCACATGGACCTAAGACAAAGCAGTTTTATATTTGTGCTCAACACAGGTGCTCAGCTGCTAACTGGTATCCAACTCTGTGACTCCACGGACTGTAGCCTGCCAGGCTCCTCTGTCCATGTGATTCTCCAGGCAAGAATACTGGAGTAGGTTGTCATTTCCTCCTCCAAGGTATCTTCCCAACCCAGGAATCCAACCCATGTCTCTTATGTCTCTAGCATTGGCAGGCAGGTTCTTTACCACTAGCGCCACCTGGGAAGCCCTTCATATTTGTAATACTTGTAAAAACCATCAAATGTTTCAGATGGTGAGCAAATCCAACTTACCCTTTAATCTGAAGATGAGGTTGCACTCATGCTTGGCATAAGCCTGGATGTATGACACAAAAGCTTTCATGCCCTTCTCAAACACAGCTCTGTCAGCCAGGGCCATGGCCTTGAGCTTTGGAAGGAGGTCAGCTGTGTTCTTCTGGAGTTTCATCTCCTGCAGGGGGCACTGCACAGGGACCACATCGTCATTTCTGGCTGGACCGCCTTCCCCCGCCAAGGCTACCCCATCAGAGCCAGTGCCAGTAAAATCAAAGGCAAAACCACTCATTGTAATCTTACACAGTGGAGGCTTTGAAGCCCAAATCCAACCCAAGTATTTCACTTGGTCCAGAGAGTATTTTAAATTTTTTTAAAGCAAAGTTTAAAATCAGATTTTACATAACAATCCTGATTTCTGATTGGAAAATATGGTAACATAGGTCTGTGTTCCCAAGTAATGATGCTCAGCTGGGGCCAGCAGTGGACCCCAGAGCCTCTCCACAGCCTTTTATAAAGCTATAGACAGGTTCCCGCACTGACACTGCCAGCCTGGCCCCTAATCTACATTTTGGACTACTTTCTGGAACTAATCTACATTCTGGACCACTTTCTGGAAAAGAACTTTTCCAACTACCCTGGCTTTGGGAATTCCACAGAAAAAAGGGAAGACAGCTTACTTTTTGGTTAATTGCAAGGAAGTTGATGTATGACTCTTCCATGGGAAGGAGAAACACGAGCGCGCTGCCACCGTGGCCGATGCGGGCTGTGCGGCCACAGCGATGCACGAAGGCGCTGGGAAGACACGGGGCGGGGACAGTCACCACCTGAGAGCTCAGCAGAGCACCGGCCTGTGGCCACGCAGCTGATGCGCCTCAGACGACACCAGGGGCCGCCCGACTCCACAGCTCAGTCCCAGCCCTGCCACTGACTAGTGTTCTAGAAGAGCTGGTGATTAAATACACACACTGCAGACCAGAGAGCAATCTCAGACATTTAACGTCAACTATAAAACGTAAATTTATGCCCATCTGATGATACAGGTAGGAAGACGTGGTCCCAGCGGAAAATTTGGGAAATAATGAAAAGTGTAATATAAAAGAGAAAATAGAAGTGATTTGTGAGTCCAACCCCTAACTCCACCCAGAATTAACGAGTATTGCTTAAGAGTTTGTATTTATAGGCATTTTCCTATGTTTGGAGGCATTTCCTAGAAATACATGCTTGCTCTCAGAATAACTGAAATCTCCATATGTGGTATATATATCTGGTGGTATATATATCTCCATATGTGGTATATATGTGGTTCCTTTAAACACTCTATTCATGTGCATTTCTGCAAGAACTTTAAAAGGTATCTGAAAATACAACACAGTATCACTACTGACCTATCAGTGATAATGCACCAGGTTCCCCGACTTTTGCTATTTCATAATGTTTTGACAACCATCATTATGTTTACCTTCCTCACGATTCCTGTTTCGTTAAGACTAGATTCCTAGACAGAGCAAGTAACGTTATCTGTACCTGGCGTTACTGGGAGGATCATACTGCAAAACCCAGTTTACTTCAGGAATATCTATTCCTCGGGCCATCACATCAGTGCACACTAAAATCCCACTAGAAAATAAGAAAACACCGTCTAAGTAAGGAGACCACCATTTCCTCACCATCAAGCAGCTGTTACTAATTTGAAGATGACGGTAAAAACAGACTGCAGAATCTCATGGAAGCAAATATATAGCAATAACATTTTGATTTTTCTTCCTCCTAAGAATTTCTAGGACTTCACAAGTTCTCAGTGAAATTTGTAAAGAGGTGGGGAGATAATGAAAAGATGAATGAAAAATAATGAAAACATTTTTTTAATTAGCATATTTCAATTGGGGAAGAAAAAAAACCAAAAACACTGTATTTGGTCTAATCCTTCGCAGCCATTTAAAAAAACAAATGAAATTTTCCCTCTCATAGTGATGTGTAATCGTCAACTCTATCACTTTGCCTAAAAGATTGTTTTTAATGTAGCCAGAATGTTCAGTGATCAAGAAAAACAGAAAAGTATTATTTCTATGCACAGAGTCAACTTACAGTCTCCAGAGACACAGCTTCCCTATAGTATAGTCAACCTGGAACCTTCAATGGGTTTCTCCCATCCACTCTGTTACCCATTCATTCAACAAACAGCTTACCAAACCCTGGGCCAGACAGTGGGGAGTCCAAGAAAGAACATAACACACAGGTCCCTGTTCTTATGGAGCTTACAACTGAGCAGGGAAGTTGACAAAGAAGGAAGTCGGTGTAGCAAAGTGTAATGGGCTCAGGACAGAGGGCAGGGGGAGAAGACGTGACAACCGGGTTAGAGAAGGAAGAGGGTTCCAAAAACAGACGAGAAGGCCTAGAGGCAGAGCAACCTGCAGAAGAGCAGAGTGGCTGGATACCTGCCATCTCCAGAGAAGCTCACCCACCTCTGCAATTTGCGGAACTCCATGAAGATCTTATTGCGCTTGTATTTCATCTTTCCATGAATGCACATTATCTTCACACCCTTCACCAGGGCCTCCAGAGCCTTTCCGTAGTATTCCACACAGGCGCACGTGCTAGAAGAGGAGACAGGGGGCTTTGATCCCTGGTCAGGGAACTAAGATTCCACATGCCATGGGGCAACTGAGCCCTTGCACCACAATAAGAGAAGCCTGCCTGCCACAATTAAGAAAGGCCATATGCTGCAACAAAGACCCAACAGAGCCAAAACAGAAAATTTTTAAAGATCTGTGCCAAGTGACCACTGCCGGATTCCCCACTGTTTTCCACGAATCACATCGTATATAAGGATGCAGTTTTACACACCAAGGGCCACAACCCACAGATCCTGAAGGTAATCTGGTGGGTCCTAAAATCAACTTAGTGAATCTGGACCAGCATTTTTTAAAGAACAGAAAGGAAAGCATCAAAATGCCTCCCACCTAGTCAAGGGCAGTTCTGTGAAATCTTTGTTTCAGTTTGTGTGTGTGTGTGTGTGTGAGAGAGAGAGAGAGAGAGAGAGTATTGGTGAAATGATGGGTGGAAAAGAAACATGAAATTCTTTGGGTATGCCAAAGAACATCACTGTAGGTATATATGGAGGAAAAAACAGCCCAAGAATGAACGCATCTGTTCCTCTTTTGCACTCTGACAAAAGGACATACCCCAGCGTGGCAGGCACTAGGCTGGCTGATTAAACACCATCCCAACCACTTCCTCCCTCATCTCCCTCTACTACAGAGGCTAGGACAGCTACCCACTCATTTATCCACCTCTCACAGTGAGGGGATGCCAGGTGACCCATCTTTGACCCATCCAATGAAAGCAGAAGTCAGCCAGGGTCAGGGGCAAGTGTTGTCTGGGAAAGCCTTTTGCTTTTCTGATTAAGAGAGTCAAATATAGCAAGTACTGCCCCTCCCCCCCCGCCTTTCCTCTTTTATCTGCTTCCAATGCAGATGTGACAGGGGATGTCACAATGGTCATCTCAAAACTAGAGTTGACCTACAGGAAGGAAAGACCAAGACAGTCACAGAAACACTGGCCTTGACATTGCTGAGACAGAAACCAATGTTAGAAACTGCCTGCCTCTGGACTTCTTTTTACAGGAGAAAAATAAACCCCTCCTGCTTGAGCTGCAGAAGTTGGGTTTTCAGTCACTTGCAGTTAAACACACTTCTAACAGAGGACCAACCTAAAAGGAATTCCAAACCTGAAGGCTACACACACATGAACATTCCAGGGGTAGTTGAACCCCAGAAGGATTACCTGAAGAAGACCAGATGTTTCTCCTGCTTATGATTTCGAAGAAAATGTACCAACTGATTAAATTTCTCATCTGCCTTACAGACCTGCAAAATAAAAAGGAAAACCAAAAAAATAAAGACATTTGCTGACAATAAAAACAACCCCACAACTATTTTCAGTTTGGGCCTTAAATTTTAAGGACTCTAACTTCCTCCAAGAAGAGGAAGACTTTCACCAGGATGTTACTCAGTCCACTGAGCTCAGAATTAAAATCAGCCCCCGCTGCTGTCACATGTTAAATCACATAATCACGTAGCTGAGGACAGCGAGTCACTCAGTGTAATAAGTACCTCCCAAAACCCAATGTACCACCAGCACCATGCCAGCCGTAACACCATCCCCAGGGGAGGGCGTCACAGTACAGGTCCTCAGATACAGCATAAAGACCACAGGTCGCAGCTCTGGAATTGGACCCAAGGGTCAGTATTATCTAACAGCACCTGTGAGAGTCTGAGGCACGGCCATGTTCAGAAATCACTGCTCTGAGGTGAACACAGATTTCCAGAATGGACTGCACAGAATTACTTCACAGACCTCCATGGAGACAGACTGGAGCTCCTTTCAGGCTCCCAAACTGAAGACATGTAAATCCTCCTGAATGCATTCCCCCTATTTTTATTACTACTGAAACCAGATCCTCAATTTTGAATTTCTTTCTCACACTCAGACATGTCTAAATGCAGTTGCTTAAATGAATGCAAAAAAGCAGAATGCAACAGCAGCCACAGTGGGTTCCAAAGCTAATTTATTAGTACGTACTAAGCACTGGCCTAAAACCTTCATGTGTTTTAATAAACCAACCCTCACAGCAACCCTATGAAGCAGATGCTCCCTGAGCTCCCATTTTACTGGTGATGAACTGGTAAGTCCACCTGGTTCGGTTAGGAAGGGACAAAGCGCATATGTGCACCTGGGCAGCCGTGCCCTTGCGCCCCTGCTCTTAACCACCTCACTGTCCACGGCTGCCTCTCTCCACTAGGGAGAGCCGGCCACAAGCAGAAACAGCAACACCAAGTGTTAACATCCCCGGTCTGATTTCAAAAACATCCTCCTGACAGCTGCACCAGAGGCGGTTTTCTGATTTGCACTCTTCTGCCTTGACCTGCCTACCCCCGGACCCTCCAAGAACTGACACAAAGAATGGCAACCTCATCGCTCTTACAGCCCACAGCACTCGGACACTAATTTGGAAATGGCCCACTTTCTCTACAAACACATCGCCGTGCTCAGGAGCTGGGGAGCCCCTCTCAGCCAAAAGAAAAACCCTGTTCCCTGGCTGATGATATAGAGGTGCCCTGGCAAGCAGGGACACTGGCCTGGCCATCCTGGCTGACCATCCTCTCTAAATGCCTCCTGGCCTGAGCCAGTGACCAGAGAGGACAGAAGGAGGGGACTCACTACTAACAATCATTCCGAAAAGCCCTCCGGCTGCCTGGTGAGGAAGGGCAGCAGCAGCTAGGATTTACTGCTGCAAATTGAAAGAAAGTGAAAGTGAAGTTGCTGAGTCATGTCTGACTCTTTGCTACCCCATGGACTGTAGCCTGCCAGGCTCCTCCGTCCATGGGATTTTCCAGGCAAGAGTACTCGAGTGGGTTGCCATTTCCTTCTCCAAGGAATCTTCCCAACCCAGGGACTGAACCTGGGTCTCCCACATTGCAGGCAGACACTTTACCATCTGAGTTACCAGGGAAGCTAAACTGAGCAACTCCCAGCTACAAAATGAACACACCAGACATTTAGGTTCCAGAGCAGAACACTGTCACCCGAAAGGGCTCCTTCAGAGAGTCTATCACTGGATTTTGTGTTTCAGCTGCTTGTCTGGCTGTGCCCTTCTCTAACTCAAGCTCATGGTGACGGGCCGGGAACCCAGTGTGTCCCATGCCTGTACCCAGCACACCCCGTGCACATGTCAAAAAGTTTGATCACTTGGGGGTAGGAGGCCCAAGGACACCACCCCTGGAGAGTGTGCTTAAAACACAATTATGTCCACATTAACTTAATTCATTTACTTGCTGAATGACAAGTGTCATCACACATACCATGTGTCCCAGCCTTGGCCCCAAATGCTGCACTTTCAAAGGTGCCTCAGGGTATCATTTTACAGACTTAAGTTACCTAGAAAACTGAAAGCTAATCCACAGAGCACTCATCATTATTAAATTTTGCTTGCTTTTTGTTTTAACTGCTAAGAGTTAACATATATTAGTGGGAACCTGGTATATCATATTGATAAAACATACAGACAGTGAAAGTTAAGAAAAAAGTACTTGAAAATCATTTTTCAAGTAAGTAAAAACTTACTTGAAAATCTAATAAGCTGTTCAAACAATTTTTATAGCTGATCATTTCAAAGGAAAAATGGAACTAAGCTTATTGAAAGTAGTACGAGTCAAAAAAAATTGCTAATTTTTTCAGTAAGCTGCTTTGACTAACAATACTGGTTCTGCTTTTTTCCAGCTTTACTGAGGTACAATTGGCAAATAAAAATGGTATATATTTAAGCACATTTATACAGTAAAAACATATACATGTAGTAATGTATGTTTAAGGTGTACGATGTGATGACTTAACATACATATACACAGGGAAATGACTGTCATAATCAAGTTAATACACCTACCACCTCACTTCACCTTTTGAATTTTTTGTGAGAACACTTCAGAACCATTGTTGGCAAATTTCAGTCTCAAGTAAACAACACTGTTAACGCCAGTCATCATCGTCACTGACCGGCGGCAGTCGGTGAGAACACCAGTGCTTACCATGTAGTAGTTCTCCAGGCGGGAAGGGGTTTTCTGGGTGCTGCTGGCCGCCACGCCCTTCTCCTTCACGGAGATGCGCACGGGGTTCCGCAGGCCTGCTCTCACCAGGTTCTCCACTTCCTGTGTCTGAGTGGCCGAGAAAAGGCCCGTTCTCCTCTGCTTTGGCAAAAACTCCAGGATGGTATTTATGCTAAAAAAAGAAGGGCTCATCTTAACCCCTTACTTATCAACATAATGAACAAAGGGTGTTTTATGATACTAAACAGGTATTTTAGAAGATGGGAAACTGTAACAATATTTACAGTAGCTATTACTGGGAGATGAGATTATGGGTGATTTCTTCTTTATACTCTTATTTTCCCAAAGTTTCTTCAATATAAACATATAAGTCAACTCTTATAATGGGGGGACAATTAAAAGAGTGAAATTAAGACAAAACTTTTTGAGACTAAAAACTATTGAGCTGCACACTATTTAATTGAGCAAATTGTGTAACATATGAATTGGATCCCAATAAAGCTATTTAATTCTTTAAAACACACAAAAAAACTTTTACAGAGCCATGAAGGAAAATGCATCAAAGATAGAACAACTGAAATTTAAACAGTGTGGGAGAATTTGATGAATCAAACAACCTAATGATATGAAATTCACATGCAGGTAACAGAGATACAGTCACCAAGTGATAAAGGAATCCACCTTGGGGTCCTTTCCACCCTGTGTCACCCAACACCCATTAAGTCCAAACTTCAGTACCTTGTCTCAAAACCCATGTCCAGAAGCCTGTCTGCTTCATCCAATACCAGGACCTCCAGGGACCTCACGCTGCTGGCCAGATCGAGGCCCTCAGCCTTCCTTCGGAACATGTCCTCCAGGCGGCCTGGGGTTGCCACGATGATATTCCCACTAGGAAAAGAAAGTTAACATTTATTGCACTCAGTGAATCTCAGGAACCTTTGTGATTCCAAACAGAACTGCTGTATCCCCCTGTGCATGAGGGCTCAGTCATGTCCGACTCTTTTACGACCCCATGAACTGTAGCCCACCAGGTCCTCTGTCCATGGGATTTCCCAGGCAAGAAAACTGGAGTGGGTTGCCGTTCCCTTCTCCAGGGGATGTTCCCCACCCAGGGATCGAACCACAGTCTCCTGCATCTCCTGCACTGGCAGGTGGATTCTTTAACACCGAGTCACCTGGGAAGCCCTATCCCTCCAAAAACATCATCTAAAATCCCACAGACAAGAAGGGAGACCACCAGAGTGGGAGGAGAAGGCTGCGCCATGAAGGGACAGGTCTGAGTTCCAGACTGAGATTGAGGACAGGGCTCAGCAAACGCCCTTCAACCAAATCTGGCCTTCGCTGTTTCTGTGACATTTTACTGGCACGTAACTCTGCATCCTCGTTCATCCTGTTGCCTCTGGAGGCTTTCACACACTAACAGCAGAGGGGAGCTGTAATGACCCAGACTGTGTGATTGACAAAGCTAAAATAATTACTATCCTGGCCTTTACTGAAAGGACCCTGGCTTTAGTCGACTGCGTTAGGCCCCAAGTCACTCATCTATAAAATGTGAATGTCAACAGAACTAGAGACAATTTTATGTAAAGATCACAAACTGGCAGACTGAAGGCCAAATGTGGCCCCCACACTGACTGGGTCCCTGCAGGAAAGTTATTATTTTTTTTAATGTGAATTACATGCAAATGTTAAAAAAATCTGGACGACAAAAAATTAAAAACCTGGCAATACAGAGTCCTGTAGCAACATGTCAGCTGGAGATGAGTATTCGGGCATAAACTAGCCAGTTTCTCCCAGTCCCCACCCAGCCCCACTTCAGACGTTTATATTTTCCTCTGACCCCTGTAGGAAGTTGAGTTTGTGACCCCCACTGCAAAGCATCTCCTGTCGTAGCTGGATACAGCAAGCGCTCAAGAAAAGGAGTTTTCTTTATCAAGAATTCACTCACAAACTGCGCACAAAATCTATTGCTGCTCATTACTGACTATTATTCATAGTGGGACAATAAAATGCCACAGGCTGACAGCCATTGTGTTTTCAAACATTTATTCTAAATGTTTAGTAAACACCTGCTGTCTGCTCCTCTCCTTGTTAGGCCCTGAAGGTAAAATGCTGAGAGACCAACACCACCCTGACTTTCATGAGCCGCCTGGGGATGCAAAGGAGCGGGGCACATACAATACCGGGCGAAGCCAGCTCACTGTAACAGCAGGGTGGCCTGGGAGAGGGCGGCAGTACAGAGTGCCGACACCAAGACTGAGATCGTCCTAACGGCCAGCAGGAGCCACTAAAGGGCCTTCACTGAGTGACACGACCCGACTGGCATGCTGGTGGCCACGTGGAGAGTGCATAACCAGGGGGTAACAGCAGAGACATACAGCAGAGGGACTTCCCTGGGGGTCCATGGTTAAGAATCCACCGCGCAAAAAAAAAAAAAAAAAGAATCCACCACGCAATCCAGGGAACATGGGTTCGATAACTGGTTGGGGAGCTAAGATCCCACATGCCAGCGGGACAACTGAGCCCTCGAACCACAACGAGAGAGCCTGTGTGCTGCACCTAAGATCCCACGCAGCCAAAAATAAATAATAGACATTAATTTTTTAAAAAGGTAAAGACACACACAGAAGAGAGAGAAAGAGCAGTTACTAGAGTTCAAGGGAGAAACGAGCAGAAGAGGTGCTGATGGGAAAGTTGACCAGTTAAGAGATGTGCTTCAGAGAGAAAAAGGCAAGGATCTGGTGATGGCTAACTGAGAGGAGGGGTGGTGGGGACGGTGAGGAGTCAAGGCTGACTCCCCGACCTCAGGAGAGGCATACAGGGGAAAGATGAATAGGAAAGTCCACATGAGGTGCAAGTCTAGGGATGAAAATTCCAAGCATCTCCGCAAAAGCTGTGAGATGCCAGTCAGATGCCAGGGAGACCAGTGGATTATCTGAGTCTCAAGGCGAAGTCAGGGACCACCTCGGAAGAGACAAGACCATTAACAACTGAGAAAAATGGGAGGTTGGCAGCAAGAAAAAACTTTTTGTAGGGAGGGGGGTGACTGAAGGGGGCGTTTCCAGTTAGGTCTTGATCATGCATCAAGTTCAATGTCAAGAGCAAACAAAGCAGCAAGGCAACTTACCCAAGCTCCTTAAATCTGGCGACATCTTCTCCAGGATTCCTGCCTCCAATCCAGAGAATCTGGCTGAAATGAGAGAAAGGCCTCTGAGGTCAGGAGGAATTGCAGCCCATGGCTGAAAGTTTGGGACTCTGCCCCCAACTTACCTAAACTGTGGGAAGGGCTTCGTGAAATGAGACAGGACCTCCTCTATCTGAACAGCCAGCTCTCGAGTGGGTGTGATGATTATGGCGCCCACCTAACCACGTGGCAGGAAGGGACATGATTAGCAGAGCCTGCAGCTTACAGAGCTAAAACTCCGCAACCGGCACCCTCCACCTCATGGAGGAAAGTTTCCAGAGAAACAGTACTTCCTGGTCTTTTCCAGCAGTGCGTGGTCATAGTGCGTATTAACTAGAGTTGAACCTTGAACAATGGGGGTGGCGGGAGGGTGGTTAGGGGCACCAACCCTCTGCACAGTAGAAAAAGTACTTGTGTTCAGTCATGTCCAACTCTTTTGTGACGCCATTTGTGATTTTCTAGGCAAGAATACAGGAGTGGGTTGCCGTTTCCTCCTCCAAGGGATCTTCCTGACCCCAGGACTGAACCTGAACATCCTGCGTCTTCTACACTGGCAGGCAGATCCTTTATCACTGTGTCACCTGGGAAGCACAGTTGAAAATCCACCTGTAATTTAAAGTCGGCCCTCCATGTAACAGGGTATAACTGGTTTGATTCCTCTATATGGGTTTGATACCATTCCACAAGGAGGGACTAAACCATCAGTTGGCAGAGACCTATAGTTATTCACTGCTGATAAAACCCTCACTTAAGTGGACCCCCACCACTCAAACCCGTTGTTCAAGGGTCAGCTGTAGTCTGAATTACAGTCAGTTCTCAACAAAGTGCCCAACATTACGTTACCAAATACGGAACCATGGCTCCTAGGGAAGTGGGGTTAGGTTCCTGCGAGCCTCTGGTCATGTTTTTGTCAACCTAACGAACAGTACATAAGCTTGTTTTACACACATGTCTGTTTAAAGACACTTTACTTTATAAGTATATGTCAGTTAAATAAATAAAGGTATCTCACTGAATATACGCTGTTGATTCATTAACGATGAACTCAGAGCCACAGCACCATCATGCATGCCTGAACGATGCTTATGTAACACGTATTTTCTCCATAAGGCTCATCACAGCCTCCTTGCACTCAGGAATGCTCAGCAGTGCTTTGGCACTAGGTTTGGGGGTCATTTTACACGGTGAAATCACCACACACACACACAAAGACATCACAGCAGTGTGTAGACCAGGAAGAGGACCCGTTTACAGTCTGAGATCAGCAACAAGAAGGCAGTGCCACCCTGCTCAGGCTCAGCTGGGAATGTGGCGTCAGTGTCGCTGCCCCAGGCAAGGCCACCATGAGCACGAAAGCATGGTGACTGCCGCCTGGGGAGCTACAGATACACGCTAAGGAGCAGCCAAATTCACAAACACAGACTCTGCAAGTCATGAGGACACACTGTGCTTTTCTCCTCTTTTCAAGCTTTTGACTAGCTTCTTCCTCAACTGTGAACTCTCTGATGACTCGGGGAAAATAAAGCGCTTGGTCTCCTCACCTGACTCTTCTTTAACTTCTCTTCCCTCCTCAGGAGAATTTCCACGATGGGGATGACGAAAGCGAGGGTTTTGCCACTACCTGTGACCTGAAAGGGGAGGAAGCTGCAGTTTGCTTTTCCTCCAAGTTCTTTCTGGAGGGCAAACGGGAGAACAGGCTGCGCTGACATAACGTACTCACCGCTTCTGCAGCAACGTCTTTGTTTTTCATGAACAGAGGGATGGTTGCGGACTGAAAAGAGAGATGGCAAATTACCAGTTATGGGATGCCGCGACACCACAGACGAGGCCCAAAGCCCAAGGAACACGGCGCTGGCCTTGGTCACACTGGATCCCACCGCAGAGTGGACTCTGATCAGTCACCACCAGGGGCCTCAGTGTGGTCAGGTCACAGGTAACACGGCGTGGTGTCTACACAGATGGCGTGCAGGGGAAGCGAGTTGAGCTGGGAGTTGGGAGTCCTGAGTTCTAGCCCTGCCTCGCCTACTCTTCCTCTCTAGACCAGGAAGGGGTTGAAGACAATGGTTTTTTTTTTTTTTCCCATTTATTTTTATTAGTTGGAGGCTAATTACTTTACATCATTGCAGTGGTTTTTGTCATACATTGAAATGAATTAGCCATGGATTTACATGTATTCCCCATCCTAGTCCCCCCTCCCACCTCCCTCTCCACCCGATCCCTCTGGGTCTTCCCAGTGCACCAGGCCCGAGCACTTGTCTCATGCACCCAACCTGGGCTGGTGATCTCTTTCACCCTAGATAATATACATGTTTCGATGCTGTTCTCTTGAAACATCCCACCCTCGCCTCCTCCCACAGAGTCCACAAGTCTGTTCTATACATCTGAGGCTCTTTTTCTGTTTTGCATATAGGGTTATCGTTACCATCTTTCTAAATTCCATATATATGTGTTAGTATACTGTAATGGTCTTTATCTTTCTGGCTTACTTCGCTCTGTATAATGGGCTCCAGTTTCATCCATCTCATTAGAACTGATTCAAATGAGTTCTTTTTAATGGCTGAGTAATATTCCATGGTGTATATGTACCACAGCTTCCTCATCCATTGGTCTGCTGATGGGCATCTAGGTTGCTTCCATGTCCTGCCTATTATAAACAGTGCTGCGATGAACATTGGGGTGCACATGTCCTGCCTATTATAAACAGTGCTGCGATGAACATTGGGGTGCACGTGTCTCTTTCAGATCTGGTTTCCTCGGTGTGTATGCCCAGAAGTGGGATTGCTGGGTCATATGGCAGTTCTATTTCCAGCTTTTTAAGAAATCTCCACACTGTTTTCCATAGTGGCTGTACTAATTTGCATTCCCACCAACAGTGTAAGAGGGCTCCCTTTTCTCCACACCCTCTCCAGCATTTATTGCTTGTAGACTTTTGGATAGCAGCCATCCTGACTGGCATGTAATGGTACCTCATTGTGGAGGTACAATGGTTTTTTAAGGTTCCTTCCGGTTCTCGTAGCACAAAATAACGATTCAAACAGGCTCTTTCATTATAAACACCACCGAGAACCCACAGGTTTACAAGGGGCCTGGCCCTTTGATTGCAGCAACGAGCAGCTGAACCTGAAGCAGACTCAGATCCTGGCTTCAAAGTTTCCCCCTTCCCACCTCCCAAGGACTCCACGCCTGGTCCCCAGAGCCTGAGCTCACCCATCGCAACACCTGCAGGACTTTCCTAACTGCCTTGGCACAAGTAAGTCTCAGGGAACATGTGGCAGTCACTGTAAGATAACTGGAGATGTTGTAAGCAGTCAGAACGGGGCAGGGGAAGCAGGACGTGGTTTATTTCTAGCACCTAGTAAGTAGAGCCCAGAGATGCTGTTAAACAACCCACAACACCCAGGACCGTTTCATATAACAAAGGATTATCCAGTCCAAGATATCAAGAGCGCAGAGACTGAGAACTCTGCTATGGACCACTGCTGCCCAACAGAAATAAATATGGTAAGAGATCAGACTTGTGGTTGCCAAGGAACAGTGGGGGAGGGGAGGGACTGGGAATTTGCGGTTGATGGGTGCAACCTATCACATTTAGAAATGGAGAAACAAGTTCCTACTGTATAGCACAGGGAACTATATCCAATCTCCTAGGATAAAACATAATGGAAAAGAACATTTAAAAAAGAATGTATCTATGTATAAAACTGAGTCACTGTGCTATATAGCAGAGATTGACACAACACTGTAAATCAGTTATACTTAAAAAAAAAAAGAAATATAATGTGAGCCACATACTCATCTAGTAGCCACATTAAGAAAAGTAAAAAGAGGGACTCCCCTGGTGGCCCAGTGGTTAAGAATTCGCCTTGCAATGCAGGGGCCTGGGTTCGATCCCTGGTCAGGGAACTAAGATTCCACATGCTGTGGAGCACCTAAGCCTACACACCACAGCTACTGAAGCCCACACACTCTGGAGTCTGTGTGCCACAACTAGACAGTCTGTGCCCACAACGAAGGGTCCTGCATAATGCAACTAAGAGCTGATGCAGCCAAATGAATAATATATATATATATACATATATATTTTTTTAAACAAAAAGAAATAGACAAAATGAATTTTTATTTATATTTTACTTAACCTAATATCATCCAAAATATTGTCGGCTCGATGTGTAAGCGATATTTTAAAAATGAATGAGATATTTTTCATTTGTCTTTCATGCTAAGTCCTCAAAATCCATTATAGATGTTTATATTTAGAGTACATCTCAATTTGGACTCACCATGTTTCAAGTGTTCTTAATAGTCATATGTGAGTGGCTACCATAGTGGACAGCACTTAGACCACGGACTCCAATTGCAAATATTGGGTCCTCTCTGCCCAACAGTCCCAAGGCATGACACACAGCACTGCTTCCTTCCTCCACACCTTTCCTGAGGAGCCTATGCACATCTCAACATTTCAAAACAGGACTCTAGATTTTTCCTTTGAAGACTGTGACCCTCCCAGCTTTCCTCACCTTAGTAAACGATACCACCAATCACCCAGTCACTAAAGACAAAAACCTCAGGGTCCCTCTAGGTTCCTCTTTCCTGACCCCCACATCTGGTCCCTCAGCAACCCTACAGCTATCTCAAAAGCAACTCTTCAATATCCACAACTTCCTCTCTGCTCCAAGCCACTGTCACCTCTGACTTGACAGCGGCCTCCTCGTGGATGGCCTCGCTTGTCTCTTACTCCCCTCAAGTCCACTCTCTGTGCAGCAGTCACAGCCCTTCTCTTCCTGCAGCCTCCCGTGTAAGACGGCTTCCCACTACATTCAGAATATAATACAAGATCCCATAAGCAAGACCCTGCACGGTCAGCACCCGGTTTGCTACTCAAGATGCCCCAGCCACAAAGGCCTTCTTTCTGTCCCTCCAAGCTCATTCCATTTGGACTGGCATTTCTCTCTGCGGGAATATCCTGCCCCCAAGTCATCCGTTGGCCAGCTCTTTCTCATTCAGGTATCAGCTTGATGACACCTCCTCCAAGAGGCCTTCTCTATCTTACCTTCCGCCCTGTACTTTCTTGTCACTGTCTCCTCCACAACACTGATCACCATTTGAAATTACCTTATTTCTTTACTCCCTTCTCTCTCTTCCGCATTAAAAAGCAAGGGCCACGAGTGGGGACCAACACTGCAAAATCCTCAGAGCCTAAAAGAGTACCTGATACACAGTTTGTCCTCGAGAAATTACTTGAATAAATGAGTGAGCTGGACCAAGACACTTCACTTAGCCCACATAACAAGACAACAGGTTACATTTACTGAGTGTCCATAATATTGTCTTAGGTAATCCTCACAACAACTCTTAGGTAATACTATTTTCGTCATTTCACACGGAAAGGCAATGAAGCACAGAAGGGTTAAGTCATTTGCTCAAGGTCTCACAGATATACAGAGGGCAGGGCCAGGATAAGAACCAGGTACTTAAGAGTGGGATGCGAACTTAAGAGTAGGCTACGAGCCAGGCACTTAAGTCCCAGCACCTAAGAACGGATGGAGAAGCAGTGTTATGAAAACCCTGGTACAGGCGCGCGGCCGCCTGCCGCCTCTGCCTGGCTATCATTAACCAGCTAGGCATCACCCAAGTCGGGGAAGCAGAAAGACGACATGACAAAGAAAGTCCCAGCTCTGAATCTCCCTTTCCCAGCCTGCCCCCTTCGCATCGAGGGCCCTCCTCCCCCAGGGCCCATGCCGAGTACCTGCACTGGCGTCATGTACGGAAAACGGAGCTCCCGCAAGACACTCAGCACCTGCGGATGCAGCGGCACCGGCAGCGACTCCCAGGAACCCTCCGTCACGTGCTCCATGGTGCGCCCAGCCACCGAGCTACTACCCGGACGCCTCCCGGGAGCACTTCCGTTTCCAGTCGCCAAGCCGGCCGACCGGAAACAGCACTCCATTCGCAAAGTTCCGGAAAGCGGGAAAAGCACCCTTGCAGCAGGAGAGTGGAAAGCCGACTTCTGGCGAATAAAAGCGGGCGGCGGGAACCCGGCTGGAGTAGTGCCATTCGTCCAGTGCAACCACGTAGGCTCCGGGCGCCTTTCCACACCGAGCAGGCATTTGGGAGGGAGGGATTTTGCCCCGGCTCTCACACTCTCCCCGCCGGTCGGAGGTCCCCGCCAGTCGGAGGCAGATGGCAGCACAACACCGCGTCCTGGCCAAACGACAGTAGGTCCGGAGGGAGTGGACAGAAATGTACCCCAATCCTGGAGCCCTAGATAGGCAAGAGACTGATGGTGGGGATCCACTGCCTGGGACAAAATAAATATTCGTTTATTTCCGATGAAGTTAGGTCAGAGACTTAAATTAAGATCACTGTATCTTATTCTTGTGTTCACCACTGGATTGTTTCATGCACGTGTACAATTCATTCAGGAAGCTTTTCAGTTCAGTTCAGTCGCTCAGTCGTGTCCAACTCTGCGATCCCATGAATCGCAGCACGCCAGGCCTCCCTGTCCATCACCAACTCCCTGAGTCCACCCAAACCCGTGTTCATCCAGTCAGTGATGCCATCCAACCATCTCATCCTCTGTCGTCCCCTTCTCAAACTTTCCCAGCATCAGGGTCAGCTCTTCGCATGAGGTGGCCAAAGTATTGGAGTTTCAGCTTCAACATCAGTCCTTCCAATGAACACCCAGGACTGATCTTTAGGATGTACTGGTTGGATCTCCTTGCAGTCCAAGGGACTATCAAGAGTCTTCTCCAAAACCACAGTTCAAAAGCATCAATTGTTCCTCACTCAGCTTTCTTTATAGTCCAACTCTCACATCCATACATGACCACTGGAAAAACCATAGCCTTGACTAGACAGACCTTTGTTGGCAAAGTAATGTCTCTGCTTTTTAATATGCTGCAATCTATGTTGGTCATAACTTTCCTTCCAAGGAGTGTCTTTTAATTTCATGGCTGCAATCACCATCTGCAATGATTTTAGAGCCCAGAAAAATAAAGTCAGCCTCTGTTTCCACTGTTTCCCCATCTATTTGCCATGAAGTGATGGGACCGGATGCCATGATCTTAGTTTTCTGAATGTTGAACTTTAAGCCACCTTTTTCACTCTCCTCTTTCACTTTCATCAAGAGGCTCTTTAGTTCTTCTTCACTTTCTGCCATAAGGGTGGTGTCATCTGCATATCTAATGTTATTAATATTTCTCCCAGCAATCTTGATTCCAGCTGATGTACTCTGCATATAAGTTGACAATATACAGCCTTGACGTACTCCTTTTCCTATTTGGAACCAGTCTGTTGTTCCATGTCCAGTTCTAACTGTTGCTTCCTGACCTGCATACAGGTTTCTCAAGAGGCAGGTCAGGTGATCTGGTATTCCCATCTCTTTCAGAATTTTCCACAGTTTATTGTGATCCACATAGTCAAAGGCTTTGGCATAGTCAATAAAGCAGAAATAGATGTTTTTCTGATACTCTCGTTTTTTCGATGATCCAGCGGATGTTGGCAATTTGCTCTCTGATTCCTCTGCCTTTTCTAAATCCAGCTTGAACATCTGCAAGTTCACAGTTCACGTATTGCTGAAGCCTGGCTTGGAGAATTTTAAGCATTAAATTACTAGTGTGTGAGATGAGTGCAATTGTGCAGTAGTTTGAGCATTCTTTGGAGTTGCCTTTCTTTGGGATTGGAATGAAAACTGACCTTTTCCAGTCCTGTGGCCACTGCTGAGTTTTCCAAATTTGCTGACATATTGAGTGCAGCACTTTCACAGCATCATCTTTCAGGGTTTGAAATAGCTCAATTGGAATTCCATCACCTGCAATAGCTTTGTTCGTAGGGATGCTTCCTAAGGCCCACTTGACTTCACATTCCAGGGTGTCTGGCTCTAGGTGAGTGATCACACTATCGTGATTATCTGGGTCATGAGGATCTTTTCTGTACAGTTCTTCTGTGTATTCTTGCCACCTCTTCTTAATATCTTCTGCTTCTGTTAGGTCCCTACGATTTCTGTCATTTATTGTGCCCATCTTTGCATGAAATGTTCCCTTGGTATCTCTAATCTTCTTGAAGAGATCTCTAGTCTTTCCCATTCTATTGTATTCCTCTATTTCTTTGCATTGATTGCTGAGGAAGGCTTTCTTATCTCTCCTTGCTATTCTTTGGAACTCTGCATTCAAATGGGTATATTTTTCCTTTTCTCCTTTGCTTTTCGCTTTCCTTCTTTTCACAGCTGTTTGTAAGGCCTCCTCAGACAGCCATTTTGCTTTTTTGCATTTCTTTTTCTTGGGGATGGTCTTGATTCCTGTCTCCTGTACAATGTCACAAACCTCCATCCATAGTTCATCAGGCACTCTATCAGATCTAGTCCCTTAAATCTATTTCTCACTTCCACTGTATAGTCATAAGGGATTTGATTTAGGTCATACCTGAATGGTCTAGTGGTTTTCTCCACTTTCTTCAATTTCAGTCTGAATTTGACAATAAGGAGTTCATGATCCAAGCCACAGTAATGCTGACTGTAGAGAGCTTCTCCATCTTTGGCTGCAAAGAATATAATCAATCTGATTTTGGTGTCAGTCATCTGGTGATGTCCATGTGTAGAGTCTTCTCTTGTGTTGTTGGAAGAGGGTGTTTGCTATGACCAGTGCGTTCTCTTGGCAGAACTCTATTAGCCTTTGCCCTGCTTCATTCCATACTCCAAGGCCAAATTTGCCTGTTACTCCAGGTGTTTCTTGACTTCCTACTTTTGCATTCCAGTCCCCTCTAATGAAAAGGACATCTTTTTTGGGTGTTAGTTCTAGAAGGTCTTGTAGGTCTTCATAGAACTGTTCAACTTCAGCTTCTTCAGCGTTCCTAGTCGGGGCATAGACTTGGATTACCGTGATATTGAATGGTTTGCCTTGGAAACGAAGAGAGATCATTCTGTCGTTTTTGAGACTGCATCCAAGTACTGCATTTCAGACTCTTGTTGACTATGATGGCTACTCCATTTCTTCTAAGGGATTCCTGCCCACAGTAGTAGATATAATGGTCATCTGAGTTAAATTCACCCATTCCAGTCCATCTTAGTTCGATGATTCCTAGAATGTTGATGTTCACTCTTGTCTTCTCCTGTTTGACCACTTCCAATTTGCCTTGATTCATGGGCCTAACATTCCAGGTTTCTATGCAATAATGCTGTTTACAGCATCCAACCCTGCTTCCATCACCAGTCCCATTCACAACTGGGTGTTGTTTTTGCTTTGGCTCCATCCTTCATTCTTTCTGGAGTTATTTCTCCACTGATCTCCAGTAGCATATTGGGCACCTACTGACCTGGGAAGTTTATCTTTCAGTGTCCTATCTTTTTGCCTTTTCATACTGTTCACGGGGTTCTTAAGGCAAGAATACTGAAGTGGTTTGTCATTCCCTTCTCCAGTGGACCACATTCTGTCAGACCTCTCCACCATGACCCAGCCATCTTGGGTGGCCCCACATGGCATGGTTTAGTTTCATTAAGACAAGTGGTCCATGTGATCAGATTGGCTAGTTGTCTGTGATTGTAGTTTCAGCCTGTCTGCCCCCTGATCTCCTCTCTCAGTGCCTACCGTCTTACTTGGGCTTCTCAGGAAGATTTTACCGACCAGCGTTGGGCTTCGCCAGTACTGGGCTTCCCTAGTGGCTCAGATGGTGAAGTTATCTTCCTGCAGTGCAGGAGACCCGAGTTCTATCATGGATTGGGAAGATCCCCTGGAGGAGAGCATGGCAACCCACTCCAGTTAGGGGCTTCCCCGGTGGTCCAGTGGTTAAGAACGCACCTTTGGGCTTCACTGATGGGTCAGACAGTAAAGAGTCTGCCCACAATGGAGGAGACCTGGGTTCCATCCCTGGATCGGGAAGCTCCCCTGGAGGAGTAAATGTCAACCCACTCCGGTATTCTTGCCTGGAAAATTCCATGGATTTTCCTGGAGCCTGGGTGGGTTACAGTACATGGGGTCGCAAAGAGTCAGGCACAACTGTGTTGGGCTTAAGACTATCATGCCTTGGGCCCATATCTTCAGCTTGGCTTGCTCCCTTACATCCATGAGGACTCTTTTGAAATGCCACCAGTGATGCCTTCCCTTCCTAATCACTAAAACCATTTGCCCTTTCTTCCCCCATAACACATTATTAATATGCCATATAGTTTATGTACTGACTAGGCTCATCTCCCCCACTAAAAGTGGGATAAAGGGGATTTTCCTCTATTTTATTTGACTACAACTGGTAGCACCAGTCACCCAAATATTTTGGGAATGAATAAATGGGAGTAATACTCGTGTAAACTGCAGTCATCTCAAAGTAGATGAGAGTAAAGCCTGAGGCAACATTTTCACTTTAATGGGATTATCACATCCTTACAATGTCTTTGCCAGCTATTTCCAAGCAGGTCTGAAGGCAAAGACAGAGGCAAACAGCACAGCTGCATTTCCACTTAGGGGTCTACTTACTAATTTCTGATCTGGGGATCCTTTCCGAGACTTTCTGTCCATAATGAGGATTCTAATAGTACCCAAGGTAGTGGATGTTTTGAGGAATAAATAAGACAGACCACCTAAAGCACTTAGCATGGGGACAGGCCATTACAGTGCTGGATAAACCATAGTTTTATTACCAGCAGGCCCTTAGTTTAATAAAGAGGAACGGTTCCTAAAGGCAGAGATCTAGATTCTGGTCACATTAGTCACTCATCTGTGAGCCTTGGGAGAATCATTTAATCCCTTTTAAATTTACTGCCAGCTACCATAAACCAGGTGGCTGAGTGAAAATAAACTTTTGTTCCAAAGAAAAAAATACTTCAGATATTAATACTGACCCATCAAAGAAACCACACAGGGAAAC